CTATCACTCGTCAGGCTGGGGCGAAGATGCGACATGTACCGGGTGTTTGGAACTAAGAGCAAAGTGCTGTACTCTGCTCGGACGCCATCGGCAGGCGAAGGCGGTTAGACGAATGCATGCGCGACCCTAATTTCACTTCTTACGGTGCGTCGTCGCGCTTCTCGGATCGGTTCGTGTCGTGACGTTGTCTTTCAGCGTCGGCACCCAATCGAACTGCGCGAGTTTTCCCAGACGAGGCTGGCATCTGCTGTCGGTCCGGAAACATGAGTTTGAAAGGAAATCTGCTAGAGGAGGCCACTGCAAGCTACAAGCAGGCTCTTGGTTGAATCCGTATATCTGGGAAGCGTCGAGGGTATGTACGCTAGGTGCGCCTTGAACGGTTCGAACATTGCCGCTGCGTCTCATTGTGTGCCGTAGGACTGTTCCCGAGTTTGAAGACATCTTCCCACCAGACAACTACCTGTGAAACGCGGCGCACACGATGATTTACCCCCATCCAAGTCTTCCGGGCCAGTGGCGACGGGTGCAGGGTTCTTCACCCCCGATACCGGCAGCTCTGGCAACCTATTCCGTCTCGCCCAACCCCTCCCGTTTCGCATGGAATCAGCGGGGCCCAGCGACTCCTTGTGAGTCCTTACACACGGGATGGTTGGCGTCCCATTGACATCGCTGTCCAGAACCAGTGACAACTCCTTCTACGCTCAGGATCTGACATTCCATCAAGTACACCCTCCCGCTCGGCCACACGGCCAACTGCCCCATGTCTCACGTCCATTGTCATCTGCCGATGAAGCGGGCCCTGTTCCTAAGAAGTTGAGGTCGACCGCGCCACCGGGTGAGACGGACAGGCCGATCAAGCCTTTAAAGGGCGGTGTGGACGAGCTTTCGAAGAAGGTGGGTCTGCTGTACAGGGAGCCCCGATCTCAAAATAACGCGACCAGGTTCCAGCACTTTCTCGACCGATAGCAGGCAGTAGTAAAAGCAGTGGACACGCATCTACAACGGTTCCTGGAACAAGAAGAAGCACACGTTTGAACAGTGGGACGGGGAAAGCCGCTCATGTATCTAAAGTAGGCGTTGCGATCCCTGCCGGTTCCTGTTCTCCACTGATGATCCAGCATACATTGACGCGGGACCGACGACGGATCCCAACAAACCATTTGCGCTCTCGTTCCATGGAATCTGACATGGAAGACGAGTTCCAGTCACCTTCCCCACCTGCCATAGCGAATTCGCCCCAGTCTGAGACCTCACCTTCAAGGCATGATCCGATGTTGGCGGATGCCTACGAATGGGAACTTGCAGATTTCTATGTGTACGACCTAACACGGCAATTTGCTACAGCAGCACGAGCTCTGGCGTTGTACAACTCGCCAAAATGTCTAGTAGAGCTGGAGAAACTTCCTCCAGTGCATCAGAAGACTCCCTGGGTTTTAGCTATGATAGGACGTGCCCACTTTGAGCAGCTTGAATATGCCAAGGTGCGCCTGTGGATCCACTGGGGTGTGTCCGCTGCTCACGGGTCACAGGCGGAACGTGCTTTCAAGGCGCTTCGCTCACTGCAACCTTATCGACTACTGGATATGGAGGTGTACTCGACACTTCTGTGGTATCTCCAGAAGCACGTGGAGCTTTCATTTCTGGCGCAGGAGCTGTTGTCGATCGAACCTCGCTGCCCCCAGGCCTGGATTGCCGTGGGAAATCTGTTCTCGCTGCAGAAAGAGCGGGCGCATGCTCTGACCTGTTTCCGGCGGGCGGCACAGCTGGACCCTCGCTGCGCCTACGCATATACTCTGAGTGGACACGAGTCTGTCGAGGAAGACCTCGACAAGGCGATCAACTTCTTCCAGTCAGCATTACGGGCTGATTCGCGGCACTACAACGCATGGTACGTGTGTGTTCGATCGCAAGGACCCCGCTTCATCTGTCTGCTTAGGTATGGCCTCGGCACGTGCTACTTGCGGATGACCAAGGTGCGGCTGGCGGAGTATCACTACCGCAAGGCCATGGACATCCATCCGTATAATGCGGTGTTAGTTGGCTGTGTTGGGCTAGTGCGTGATCCATCACGTGTCCGTACTAAGCTCACATCTTGCTCCTAGGCGGTGGAACGGTACGATCGTGGGGCTGCTCTGAAGCTCTTTGATGCCGCGGTCAAGTTGGCGCCGGAGAATGCCCTGGTCCGTTATCGCAGATCCAAAATCCTCATTGCAGTGAAGAGATATCCAGTGCGCGGTTCTCTCGCGTATTATCCGTCGTGTCTCATTATTTCACAGGAGGCCATCCAGGACCTCGAGAGATTGCGCAATACCGCGCCGGAAGAGTCCAATGTTGTTTTCCAGCTCGCCAAGGCTTATCGACTCGTTGGAAATGACGTCAAGTTTGCGGCAACGCTTGCACAAGCACGTGATATGTCCCCCAAGAGTGTTGCGAAACTCAAGAAACTGCTGGATACGGTCAAGGACGACAGTGCGGACGATCGAATGGACGAGGGATAGCTAATTGATCGTACTTCCGTCGTCATATCTCACGATAGTGTTGCCATGTTTGGCACCGACAACAGCGGTTCCCCGTCGAGTCAGTGATCGTGTGATATAAAACGCGACCGTGACTGTTGTGGTGCTCGTGATCTCCATTCCTCCCTCGACCACCATGTTCGCATAGTTGTGTCGTCCGTGTCCGCCCCCTCGTCCCCCTCTCCACCCGAGTCGCACCGACTGCTGGGCCCACCCTCGCACAAGCATGGTCAATAAACTAGCCCGTACTTCCAATAACGGCTCTTTGCTCTTTGAACCTGAGATTGTAGAACGTATACACCGTTGAAAGCAGCCCCTCTGTTCGTCCCTTCATTTGCCTGCTTGATGCACGAGTCTTATGCCCTTTAGATACCCGAGCCTCGTGCCAACCTACTTAACTCGCCAGACTTGTTCTTCCATCCAACCACTCAATCACTCAACCACCCACATTATCAATGGCGTCTACTTCGTCTGACCTCTTTGCCCTGGCGCGCTCCAAGCTGAACCTGTCTTCCGGCCACAAGGACAGTTTCAGTTTGCACCGCTGGGTGCTACTGAAAAACTCGGTCATCCAGTCTATTCCTTGCATCACTTCTCCCAAAATGTCTACTACTGTCTCCACCTCTACTGAAGCCGAAGAGGACGACGATTTCGATTCCTTCATGTTCCCTGATGCAGGGATGGTCGCTGAAGAACCGTGTTCGGATGCAAATCCGTCGTCCGAGGCAGCATGGTTTGACTCGTTGTTGGAGGCACTAGATGAAGACGAAGACGAAGACTTCAGCATGGACGGAGAAACATGTGTTTCTGTGATGCCTGTTGAGGACGACGACGAACTCGTCGGTGTGCCCGTCTCTCCTCTGTCCTCTAGCGACTACTTCTATCCGTACCTTGTCCCATATCCTCCCTACTCGTCCTCCATCATTTCCCCGTATCCATTCCACCCACCTCTGCTTTTTCCGGTTTCTCCCGCTACCTCCTATGCTGATCCCTTACCTTACTACGACGTTGACGAACTGGACGAGCTGCCGGTTCCAGACGCCATTGAGGATACCTCGGACGACGAGTCGGATGCTCCATTGACACCGGGGCAGTCGCTATCGTCGCTGACCCTCGATCCTGCTTCCATTCCCCTCCCCGAAGAAAGTCGCTTGCGACAGACTACACCGTATATATACACTGAGCTGGACGACGACGACGAGTTTGACCTGTTCTCTCCATTTGATTCCGTGCCCTCTAGTTCTCCTCGCTTCTCCTCCCAGTGCTAGATTTTTTTGCTACTTAGCTCCGTATGCCGCCGAATTTTCACTATGGGCAATGTATATTATTGTCTGCGCTATTTCCGCTGTTGCTATCGACGCACTCCGCCAGCCCGTCTGCTTCCAAAAACCGGATTTCGGAAGATGTCGGCAGATATTGGATTGCCGTGTTGTTGAAGGCCGTTTTCCACGCAGGAGATTCGGGTAACAGTCTGCATTCAAGATGCTTATCTTTGATAGGCAAGGTCAGATAAGTACTGGACGAAACTGCGGGCCGGGCACGCACCCAGTCGCAAAATATGGGGCGCTCTCGTTTCCAGTTTCTTCTGGGGATGGCTGTCTGGTTTCCACCTGATTTCGAACGTAACCGGGCCGCATCGCTCACCTCTCAATGTAATCGCCGAGGCGGTTCCCGATCAGGATCAAGCGGGATAAATGCTCGCGCGACCAATTAGTTGCAACCACGTTTTCGTACAGGTCAAGATCACAGTGCGGCATCTGCGCGGCGGGGTTGTTATTACCCTCCAGAGCTTATCGGGGAGACTCACCCAAAGAATGGTCGGATCCGCGAGTCGATATCGGCCCTCCTGTTCCGAGGGCTCAGATCCAGGCAGCTTCAACGTAACTCGACACGCACCTGATTCTCCGTCGCCACGATCATCCCGAGGGCCCCAAACACAGCTTTGTCCTCCTCCGTGAAAACGGGATCATACACAGAGACGTCTGCGTGTTCCTGGCAGGGATTGATGACCACCAGGTGCACATTAATAGCCTGTACGCACAATTGCCGCGGTCTTGCAGATCTCAAGCAAAAAGGCCAGCTGCGCTCGAGAGTTGGGCGAAGAGAGACTGCCGAGCCCTAGACAGAGAACTTTCTTCGGAGATCGCGTCTCCAGATGCTCGCGGAGCAACGCTAAGCAAGAGGACTGTCGGTCTATTGTCACCCGACCTCAGCGATGCGAAACGGACTTTGACAGTCGGAAAGCCAGTCGTTCTCGGCCCAATCCGCGATAACGCTTTGGATCTGAGACAGCAGAGATGGCCGGTCATGCGCAGGCCTGTTTTTGCGCTTCTTTTTGGACACCTGCTTGAAGTCCGAATACTTGAAACCGTCGCTGGTCATGAGCGAGTACAAGTGAATATATGGTTACGTAATCCTAATTGCACAGCAAGGCAGCAGCACTCAAAGACTTTGTAGAGACCAGAGATCGTCTCCCAGGTACGTGACAGTCTCGACACCCACGCCCTTGTTGACCTTGCGCATCTCTGCGGTGCCAAGTTTCGTGATGCCGACACCCACCGCGTGTTCCTTCCCTTCTGCATAGATAGCAACTGCGCTCTCAGCAGGATACGCTTCATCATCCGGTGGTAGATAGCCACCCGCGGATGTCATTCCTGGGCACATCATGTGTGCCCCCGCCAATAGGAACCGAATCGCACCACGGTCTATTCGTACCATTGGTAAGATAAACGGATCTTCAACGTGCCGCCATCTGTCAGCAGTGGTCCCAACAACGCGAGGTCCGCTAGAGTCTCTCACATTTATGCAGCAGTCGCAGGGTCGGGTAGAACGGACCGTCGAAGTGTTGGAAGAAGAGAGGCTCGTTGTGCACGGTGAAGATGGATATGTGTTCTCTGCTATCGCGTCGATGAGAATCAGGGTCGCGCGATGGGAGGATGCACCGGCTGTGGACCATTTCACGTGAACCAGTCCCTCCTTCTTGGGCCAGATGGCCTCCAGCGTCTCGGGCTCGATCTTCCATTGCGCAAGCACGCCAGATCGAATGGACCTTTGCACGGAAGATTTCACTGGTGTGTTTCCGGCAATATCTGTCGATGGTGAAAATCTACGACGCGCGGCGGTCAGAACGGATCGTGAGGCCCAACAGACGGGGCTTTCACTTTTTGAACATGGTGCAGACCAGGAGAAGATGTGACACACCGGTGTGACATGTGGAGTCTGGTACTAGTGTACAGTATTTTGCATTAATTGTTGAGCTGTAGTACTACATACATAGGTTTACATGAAAAAACGAAAGCGAATAAAGTCAAGGAGGGTCTGTCCGTGATCATATGTCCTCGTCCCGGTCCTCTAGCTGAGAAGGCTTGAGCATTCCTGGAATCCGCATTGCTAATTGATGCTCTTGATCCACTTTCCGCTGCGTTTCTGCCTCTCGCTCATCCAGATACAGCTCCGCATTGTCGCCGGAGAACTCCTTCAGCTGGATAAGGAAGTCCCGTAGCGCCAGCTTGAATCGGTTGGGATCGTCATTGAATTCTCCCAGTTGCGAGACAAATCGTTGCACTTGTGCCCTGGAAAGTACTGTCAGCCACGACGCGACCGGGCAACATGCGGGACACACTTGTTGACATGAGGGAATGCGTTATGTAACAGATCGGAACAGAACTGGCGAAGGAACATTGCGTTTGTCGTGTTCGGATCCGAGACTTGGGTGGGTTCGAACAACGGAGTCTGGATAGCGTTTGTTTCCACAAGCTGGAACATCCGAGCAAGAACTACGCTCTGGAGCTTGAAGCCGCTCTTATGATCGGTGTCAGTGAGGACATAGAAGATATCCTGCACCACAGTGAGGAAATATTGATGGAAGAACGCGTTGGCCACTGCTTGATCGGCCATGGCAAAGTTGTTGATCACTTCTAGACACACTGCAGGCGTTGAGAGGGATCAGGAATCGAACGAATGAATCAACACACAGGTCAGACCGAGGTCTGCGATGTCTCGCATTGTATGCTTGATGGCCCAGATGATACTATCCATGAATAGTTTGAAACGAACAGGGGTCATGGTCAAAAGTGCTGCACTCGTGAGATGTTGCCTTGTTATAAATCCAGGGGCATACCTGGGAAGCAGTTGGCGTTCACCGATCGCAACAGCTTGTAGATCCCTCCTCGATGCTCCGGGAACTCAGTAAAGTCTTTGGTGATCATGTCCAGCGTTGGCTCCAGAACAGCATCGATGACAGGCGGGACTTGAGGTGTGAGGAGGGAGCCCAGTCGCGTCGTAATAGTTGCCATCACATTCAAAACTTCCGCATCGCGGGCTTGAGGAACATTTCGACCGTAGTCGCCAAGAATGGCGTCGAGCAGCGGTGGAATGAAGTTGGCGTTGACAGCCTCGAGATCTTCTGCTTTCTTGATGTATGTCTCCATAAGCTTCAAGATCTCCTTCTTGACCGTCCGGAGTTGTCTTATTTTTGGTGTCTTGGTCGCCAATGCTCCTGTGCGATCTGTCGTCAACACGGAGGACGGAGATCCGGCAGGAATATTGACCTTCTTTGGCAATGGTTTCACTGACTATCCCACTTACAGCTTTGTACAGGCCTAGCATGTCCAAGAAGATGCGGCCAATCTGGGGGAGATAGAAGCTCCCGATTGACGTGCAAGCTGAAACGTTAGTCTTGAGAACATTGGACAGAATCTTGATGTTATCAATGTTCGCCAGGACGTCCATGTTCTGTGCCGCTTGGCCCATGAGCGAGTCCCACTGCAAAGAAAGCACTGTCAGTCACGGACGGACACGAGCGAGCCAAAGCAAACACGTACGGCGTTGTTGGGCAGCTCCATGAGACTCCCGATCAGCTTTTCCTGCTGCACTTTGTTCGGTTGGGCGGCAATCATCCATCCGACGGCCTCATAGAAGGTATGGACCTGGAAGAATGAGCAGGTAGACCCAAATGTATCCGACCAGACGCACCTGTTGCGGTGAGAGGTCGACAGTAATCCGATGCAGCATTCGTAGAATCTCATCTACGAAAGGCTCTGTTTCGCCCGACTGGAGCATAACAAAGTGTCGTCGACATCTCTGCGCGATTTTGATGAACGTGTCGCAAGCCATATCTTGGACACCCTCGTGTGTTTCATGCATGAACTCGAACAGCTTGTTGACCACCGTCTTGAGGAACTTCCAATGGGCCTTGAGGAATCGAGGGTATTGGCCAACAATGTACATGATGTCCGAGGCAACCACAGCCTTGTTATCCTTGCCGCGCTTGACTTCGCACAGGCCGAGCAGATCCTTGATGACAGTCACCAGGAACCGTTTCTCTTGCTCTTCGTCTGCGAAAACGATCAGTCACGAGCGTGCAGGAAAACATGAACCAACGTACTCATAGCCCCTGAGATCGACCCAATTGCCCAACAGAGCGTGTTCAGGTTGTTCCACGACCACTCTGACCCGTCGACCTGCTTCGCGAGCTTCTCCGTCAGGATGCTCTCGGTGTCATTGACATCGAGATGAGTCAAGTAGACAAGCAGCTCGCGCATGGACTTGTAGAGTACGATCGTGTCGCTCTCTTTCATGAATTCACGCACGATCTCGCCTTCGTCGTTCTCAACAATCAACACCTAGCCGGCAGTCGGGTCAGTCGCGAAATGGGAAGTAGGCATATTGACTAACCTCTTCTGGCTTGACCATACGCTCTATCACAACTAGGCGGAGGTTGGAGAGAACCTCGCTGTAAATATTTTTGCGCAAGGACATGCCCCCGAGAACAGGAGGTCCACCCGCTCCGCCCAGACTCAACCCCATCAGCAAGCCCGACTCTCCCATCGGCATGCTCTGGATTTCTTCATAGAGCTCGGAAACCAGCTTGACCCAGTACTCGACACAGATTTTGAAGACCTCACGTTCCTCAACCTGCGACACTTTGACCATATACAGATGGGCGTTGAGCAGCACGTCTCGCGTCGCGTCCGATTCCACTGCACGCAAATGCGTGCACAGAAAGTTGGACAGAAATAAAGAAAGGTTGAGAACGAGTTCCTGGCCGGAGTCACCGGCGTTTGCATAGGCTTCGGCGATATCGGTGCTCGGAGGTACCATTCGATTGACGGACGTCATGACCATCTGGAACAAGATGACAAATTTCGGGTCGTATTCTGGCCCAACGTTGAGCGCGGCGATTTCGGCAAGACATTTCAATGTTACGTTGCGGAAGTCTGAGGTTTCAAGAAACTGTGGCTGTTTAGTATAAGACTGAATGGAACGACTGGTAACGCACTCGATTTAAGAGAAGATCGATGATGCTAGTCTCAAAGATATAGCCCAAGGGGATCCAATTGAGAAATCGCAGCAAAGTCTCCAACGTCGCTTTGATTAGGGACGTCTTCTGAGCCTCCCCAAGCACATCCGAGCACAGTTTGAAGATCTCGGAGAACTCTCCACACATCTGGTTTTTCAGATTCTTGATCTTGGTCTGCGTCATTTGTTCTGCCGAGAAGTCGAATATCTCTTCGGACAATAGCTTCAAGATAATCATGTTGTTTTCGCATAGCGTGAGATTGGTCTTGGACGATTCGACCAGTTCGGTGATGAAGTTCGGCCAGTTATGGGGCCATTCTTGTTTCAAGATCTGAACGGAGTTCAAATAAGCAGCAGCAGCATCGCCAGACAAAGCTAATTTACGCACTTGCACCAGCGTCAGATCCAACTTGTCCACGTATGTCTTTTCCTTCCGCATAGTCGCTTCATCAGAGGCCACCTTAACCGTTACGCCGACGATGAAGTTCCGGATGCCTGAGCTCTGAGTTGGCAAACACCCTTAGTAAGAGAGGCAACATCGATGTCCAACCTTGTCTTTGACCCTCCGGAAGACTCTTCCACCGTGTTGTGATCAGCTTTTCTAGGATCTGGAGACCGATGTACTGGGACGAGCGATATCAGTGACAAGCCGCCCAGATCATCATGCAAAGCTACCTTGGCTTGAGGAAATGTGGAGCGCTCTAATATATCCGGCACCCTAGTCCAAGCATCTGGGCTGTCTTGGAATTGAGTGAGGACTTGCTGAGCTAGTTGTTGCTACATCATCATCAACACCGACAGCAAGAAGAGGAACGAGCACAGATAGACCTCTTGTCCGGTACTCTTATAAAAAGACATGGTGACCCTGTCCATGAGGGAGACATCGAAGTCTTTGGAGAAATCGAGGAGAGCCTGGATCGTCAATTGATGTGAGATTTAGAAGAACCGCGTCGATGAGACGCACCTCCATTAACCGCAACGGCAAGGTCAAAGTCTGTCCGAAGTAAGTCAGTCACAAACCCACGATCAGTCACGATGGCACGTGCCAGACACCAACTTTCGCGCAACTACCACTACGACGCGCCTCGATGTCGATCTCAGTGGAAGAAGCTATGTCAGCTCCTCTATCCATGCACTGTGGAACAATACTCATCCCCTCGAAGACAACAACTGCGGGAAGTCAGGGCTCTCGTGGTGCCAGACGAGGACTACCTTGGCCTAGTTTCAACCGAAGAAACTATCGCGCTTACCGAATCTAATAGGCGAAAGGAGCTAGAGGAGTTGCATTCGAATTTGAAAGGTTTCGCTATGCTCCTTTGCACGCTTGGACTCTTTCGCTCATGATCAACAAGCACTCTCCAAGATCGTCGAGGCCGCTCGTGTCTCGGCGACTCGACCATCCACAGTTCCCACCGCAGAGATGCACGCCGCCACATTGAATGAACTCGACGAATCCAGCCTTTCCTTGGCGAAATCTATTCAGGAAGCAGAGGGTTTGGTCGCCAGCAAGGAGGGAGAGCTTGCTTCGCTCAAAGACAAAGCCCGGCGATTAGAGTACTACGATCCAGCCGCAGAACACGAGAAAGAGCTGGATGGTGCTGCGTGAGCATCCCTCAACTGTTTGTAGACTCTCTGAACATGTTCTGGGCAGACTCCGACTGCAGATCTACAAGAGACTGGGGTTTCAGCCTGTCACCGACAAGAGTGGCGGACTCAAAAAGATGCTCGTTCGTGAGTCATTTGCGTCTCTCCACATACTGTGTATTGGTCGAACGATTTGCAGGCTCTTCGGAAGGCGACATTCATATAGTAGATTTCTCGGAGGGGAGAACAGACTTTGAGTACGCGGAGCAACTTTGGAAAGCGGCCAGTTCATAAAGACTTGGCTATGTGTCTGTAAGATAACGACTGAGGATGTATTATTGTGCAGCAGCGGCACTGGCTCGCAAGCCATCTTTAAGCACCCAGATCTTGTTGACCTTGCACTTCTCTGCGACTTCTCGGACCTTGGCCTCGATCGAGTTTTTCTTGACTTTATGTTGTCGTAAATCCTGATAGATGGTATCGATGAGGATGGGGAAGCTGCCAGTTTGTATCCTGGATATCCTTTCCAGAAGGAATGCCAAATGCGCTTCAGGGAATGATGTCTTGGGCGCGGGCATTGAGCGCTTGGCAGATGTGCCTATTTGCAAATCCTTCAGACGATCTGGTAATAAAGGAATCGCGAAGCCGTCGTCCGTAGCATCAGCGGCGGATGGAGAAATGAGGCTGAAAGGATCAATAGGGAACTCCGGAGCATCTGAGGAATACTTCAAGCATCCCCTTGTTGTTGAAGGAAGAGACGTACCATTCAGTATTTGGATTCGATAAGGATTGAAGATTTCACTGGCGCACTGGCCAAGCTCTTGCTCCCATAGCGGGCCTTTGGCGAACGCTTTCAAGGCTGCAACGAGTTTCCTTTTCTTCGCAGTCTTCTCTCCAGTGTCATCGGCCCTGCGTTTAGCCGGTTTCTGGTTATGAAACATAGGCGACGTTCCTCGCTCTTCAATTATCTGGTCTTCGTCGTCATCAGCCAACCAGCTGTCGAGATCTGAGTCTGCATCCTCAGCATCGAGATCCTCATCGTCCCCGTCCTCGACCACATCGTCTGCATCACCAACAGGTTCTTCTTCCCACTCCTCTCCGCTGTCATATCCGTAGTCGAAAACCGCGACATCTTGAGCCAGGGGCGTTCGAGGCCCAATGAGCCGAGAGTTTCGTGTCCATGTCCCAAAGTACCCAGGTCGGGCATCATCTGCAAACACTAAAACCTTGGCTGGGACCATGGCCCGGTCCGATAAAGTCGACAACAAAGATCTGACCAGGTTCACTTCCCCAGAGACTTCGGCTTCATTCACTTGCTCCATCATGTCACTGACACGGACGATGTGTTCAGTCTTCAAGGACGATCGCCGTCTCCGGGCAGGCTTGTAGCACGGATTTGATATCAAATCCCGGAGCGAGGTTCGTAATCGCTCTGGGGCAGCAATCAACGCCGATTTCGTATAAGATACAGATCGTATTAACACACCTGAAGTACTCAGTCGTTGCAGCTCCTTTTCTGGAACAGCAGTGTCGTCTTCGTCCTCTACAATGATCACATCGCCATCATAAGTGAGCCGCGCTGTGTTCCGCTTTCGCGCCTCCGTGAATCGATTCACGGGAGCGAGTGCAGTCTCCTTCTTAATCACGAATGCCTTGAACGTGCGGTCAAACTCTGAAACAGACGTCGAGGCCACGCTAGCATCCGCGTCTTTTGTAGGCTGGGGACGAGCAGATGTCTTGAAGAAGTTTTGCATCAAAGAACGCGATTTAGTTTGCGCGTCCTTTTCCTTCTGTTCTCGTTCCACTTTTGCGGCTTTCTTCTCCTGCTTCGCCCTTTCCTACGAGTTTCCCAGTTCAGCGAGGGTATATCAGGGGAGGGAGGCATGTGTTTTACCTTGGCCAACTTCTCGGGGTCAGCAATCTTCTTCGGCTTGCCAACCTTCGAGGCCACAGTCGTCTAATCTCTATGAGCGACAAGTCAACGGACGCACAGAAATTCGCACTGAATCGTTTTCTTCGTTCTCTTTTGTCTTTTTTGAGGCTTGAGTCGGGGTCTTGAAATCAGCTTCGATGTGCACGATGTCACTTGAGCCCGAAGCGACAGCCTCCTTTAGCTGGGTCTTGGTCCCTTTGGGGTCAAGGAGGGCGTCTTGCTCGCTTTTGGGTAGCGAATCGAAGATGGCCCGCAGTCGAATCTTAGCCTGAGAAGATATGCTCGATTGAACACATCAACAAGGATGACACATAGTGGACCCACCTGCTCTCTTTCCGCCAGTCGCGCTGCTGCCTTCTCTCGCGCGTTTTTTGGTAGGTATTCAACATACGCTGGCTTGATTTCCCATCTCCAAACACAGACGGCATTCGGCGCTTTCGCACCAGCGGGACCATTCAAACCGTAGTTCGTGCGAACGGCCACGGATTGAATGCCATTCTCCACTGCGCTTAGTGTCAAGGGTGGTGAACCAGAACCGCCCTCCTCTTCCTCCTCAGCTGGTAGAAGCTCCTGGTGGATATGTTTGGATATGGCAGGTAGGGTTTTGTCACTAGGAGGAATCAGATTAGGCCGGCGCATCTATTGCCTAGAGCATAGCACACACACCTCTCGCACACCAACTTGACAAGCACTGCTTTATACTCTTCGGAAACCGTGTCCAAAGGAAGTAAGCGTTGAGATTTACGGAACTCCAACATATCACGAAATTTGACAATCTCTGCATGAGATTGCGTTTGAGCGCGAAAGTTGTGGATTGTAGGAGACATAAGCTCAGACCTTGAAGAGTCTCTGAGTGCTTCTCCAAGGACATCGGCCTCTGTTTGAATACGACTTTCCCCTTCTTCAGTTCGGCGATGGAGTTTGTCTCGGTCGGGTTCTCTGCTTGCATAAGTGTCGACTGGGTCGCGCCTTGGGTATCGGATACTAGCAGTAAACATCTATCAGAGCAACGAGCGTGCGAAATTGAGTTTTCATACTATTGTTTGTCGCAGAGATAGATACTGGAGGGACTGACGACTTCATACAGAAGACTATTGTGGTGGTCAGGGAGAGAGCAAAGCCGCGTCCTGTCACCGTCACTGATGTGTGACACTTCGCGTCGAAAACTCGCACTTAATCAACCGCACTCATGGCGTTCTTCACAAAGACTGGCGCTGCGAAAACCTCTTCTGCCCCCAAACATGTTGTCGACCCAGCACTGCAGCCGTGGGTTGAGAAATAGTGCGCTGGGTTCCAACAATGATTATCCATACTTACTGCATCTCAATGTCCGTCCAGTCGGCCAAAGACAATTGACGACGTCTCAGCCCAGGAGCACACAGTGGCTGTTTTGAGAAAGACACTCTCTTCTACTAATGTGTGTTCCTTAAAACGCGTCGAGATCCTTTCGTGACCCGCCCAGCTTCCTCACATGTTGTTTTATGGACCACCAGGAACGGGAAAAACATCTACGATCTTGGCTCTAGCGCGCCAGCTTTTTGGGTGCGTATCCCCGCACTGATTCAAGATTATACGAACAATCATGTTCACAGGCCCGATAATTTCAAGAATCGTGTGCTCGAACTCAACGCGTCGGACGAGCGTGGCATCTCAATTGTTCGAGACAAGATCAAGAACTTTGCTCGACAAACCCCTCGCGCGCAAGCTGTTGCCTCTGATGGCAAGGAATACCCTTGTCCTCCGTATAAAATCATCATCCTTGATGAAGCAGATTCAATGACACAGGATGCTCAAGGCGCACTTCGTCGGATCATGGAGACGTATGCAAGGATAACGCGCTTTTGTTTGGTGTGCAACTACGTGACACGGTGCGTCCATCCATTCATCGATTCACTGTCTCATGCGGTCTTAGCATCATTGAGCCGCTCGCTTCCCGCTGTTCGAAATTCCGCTTTACACCATTGGACTCTTCCTCATCTTCTTCTCGTCTCGTTCACATCGCCGACACGGAACATGTTCAGGTCGACGGAGCGGTCATCGAAGCACTGATTTCAACATCATCGGGAGACCTGCGACGAGCTATAACGTATCTCCAGTCGGCGTCCCGACTTGCCACTTCGACTGTTCCACCGACACCTATCACTGCGACCGACATTCAGGAAATTGCAGGCGTTGTCCCGGATGCTGTCATCAATTCATTTGCAACTGTCTTGGGGATCGACGTTGGAGAGGACAGGATGGAAGTCGATGAGGCGACCAAATCTCAGCGAGGATTTGATGCAATACAAAAGAAAGTGAAAGAGTTGATGCGGCAGGGATACTCTGCCGCCCAGACATTGAATCAGGTGCGAGAATTGGTGGGTCAGACCAGGGTGATGCTAATCTTGGTCAGTTGCATGATCTCATTGTCCCGCATCCCACGATGAGACCAAGACAAAAGTCAAAATGTGCGCTTGCGATAGCTGAGGCCGACAAAGCATTGTGCGATGGAGCTGACGAGGAACTGTGGATCTTGGAGGTTGCATTAAAGATAGACAAGGCGATGTCTGCGTGATTTGAATTGCTTGTTCGACTGAGCGTGCGGTTATTTGATGCAGGGAAACAAAAATGGTAGTGCGGCACAGTAAGTACAACATGAGAATAAGTCTATGTACATCTGCACGATCACCGTATTCCAGCCGTGGCTTTTTGGAGTGCTCGCTTGATGCCGAGCTGAGCCTTCTTCAATTCATCTGCCGTCGAGTCCTCGATCTCCAACTTCTCCATTGCCCGTGCAAGTTCAGCTTCAACCTGGGCCTTGGCTCCACGTTTGAGCTTCATGCCGATCTCCGGTGATGTGATGGTGCCTTCGACTTGGTGAATGTAAGCTTCGAGGTCCGACTTTGCCTCGTGACGGGCAGAGAACTCCTTGTCGGCGTTCTTGAATTGTTCGGCATCCTTGATCATCTGGTCGATCTCGGCAGACGAGAGACGGCCGACAGAGTTGGTGATGCCTGGACGTACAATCAGGGGCATGAGCAAGTGTTGTGAGAGATCACCCACTGATAGAGGCTTTGCGGCCCGATGCACGGTCCATGGCAGAGACCTTCAGCAGACCGTTGGCGTCAACCTCAAAGGTGGTAACAAGCTCAGCCTGTCCACGGAGCATGGGAGGAATGCCGTTGAGCTCGAACTCGCCGAGCAGACGGTTGTCACGGCACTGCGTGCGTTCTCCCTCGTACCTAATGCGAGTTCAATCACAGTGCACCCGCCAACAAGCAAGTCACATACACAGGGAAGGTAACGGTCGTCTGGTTGTCCTCGACGGTGGTGAAGACCCGCGACTTGTTCGTGGGGATGGGTGTGTTTCGGGGAACGACGACACCGAACACGTCGCCCTGCATGGCGACACCGAGGGACAAGGGAGCAACATCGAGCAGGAGGAGATCCTTGGTCTGCTCGGAGGTCTGGCCAGTAAGAACGGCAGCCTGGACAGCAGCACCGTAGGCGACAGCCTCATCAGGGTTGATGGACTTGTTGAGCTGGCGGCCACCGAAGAATTCAGACACAAGAGCCTGGATCTTGGGGATACGTGTGGAGCCCCCGACCAAAACGATTTCATCGACCTTCTCCCGGGCCATCTTGGCATCCTTCAGGACCTTCTCGACCGGGTCGAGAGTGGATTTGAATAGGACGGCGTTGATCTCCTCGAAACGGGCACGAGTGATGTTGGCCGAGAAGTCTTCGCCCTGGAAGACATCAGAGGATGATCAAGGTTTACGCACGCAATCGACACACCTGATACAACGAGTCCACTTCCACTGTGGTCTGGGCGACACTGGACAGCGTGCGCTTAGCACGTTCACAGGCGCTCCTCAGACGCCTGAGAGCACGAGCGTCATCAGAAATATCAAGCTTGGATTTGCGCTTGAACTCGTTCTTGAAGTGATCGAGCAAAGCGTTGTCGAAGTCTTCACCGCCAAGATGGGTGTTACCAGCCGTGGCCTTGACGGCGAAGACACCACCGCTGATGTTCAACAAGGACACATCGAACGTGCCTCCTCCGAGATCGAAGATGAGGACGTTCTTCTCGGCCTTGGATTGACGGTCGAGACCATAGGCAATGGCAGCTGCGGTGGGCTCGTTGATAATGCGAAGGACATCCAGCCCAGAGATGGCGCCGGCGTCCTTAGTTGCCAGACGCTGCGAGTCGTTGAAGTACGCGGGAACGCTGAAACGGATTGAGTTCAGGCGTTGGGTCCCAATGGAATCACGGACGTAACAACGGCTTTTTTAACAGTCTTGCCAAGTTTTGCCTCGCAAATCTCCTTCATCTTGGTAAGGACCATGGAGGAGATTTCCTGCGGGCTGAAGGTCTTGTCCTCGCCAAGATATTGGACCTTGATCAATGGAGATCCATCCTTCTCAACAACTTCGAAAGGCCAGTGGACCATGTCCTGATCATGATTTTTAGCATCAGGAAGATATGGCGGGTATGAAAACTTTTTTTACCTTTTTGACATCCGGGTCACTGAGAGAGAGAGAAGCGATGAGAAACGGTATAGAACGGCATGGAACATAAGCTCAACTCGAAACGGCGACCGATGAGACGCTTAGCATCGAACACAGTGTTGCGGGGGTTCATCGCAGCCTGATTCTTCGCGGCATCACCGATCAAGCGCTCCTCGGCGGAAAAGGCAACGTAGGAAGGAGTGGTCCGGTTTCCCTCTGTCGCATGTCAATGGGCTGAGGGTAGAAGCAGAGGCATAGGCATACGGTCGTTGGCGATGATCTCGACACGGTCGTTTTGCCAGACACCGACACATCTAGAGCACGATGATTAGAAAGGCGCAGACATCGAGCAAGCAGAGACTGACGAGTATGTGGTTCCGAGATCGATACCGACAGCACCTTCGAAGACGTCGTCCATGGCTTTTGGGAGGAGGGGGGAGAGGAAAGTGGTGGATGGAAAAAAAAGTTGGGTGATAGGTGGCGGTGTCCTGTTTGTCAACGTTTTCGGATTCGAAGTAAACTCATGTCTTTATGTCGCAAACCGCTAGCAAGCGCAAGCAACGTTCTGAGAAGGCCATTGCCTGCTCCCAAGCGAGTACGGTCTTATAGCGACAAGCCCGAACTTGGAGACCGACCTCTCCGCTCATTCGAAGACTGGAGCGAACTACAAATCAAACGTGCCGCGGTCGGAACTCTGAGTGAATCCATCGCACTGTTCATGTCTGCTTGGTCTAATGCACTGTTCCAGTCGACATTTTCTCTGACTATGGCTCGAACCGAAGGCAAGAAAACGCTTTCAAACTCCGGGACTACACACGACGTCCAGTGCCAAACGCGACCGTTTCATCTTTGCTCGCAGCCGGCGCCCACTTCGGACATGCAACATCCCGCATGAACCCCAATTTTATGCCTTACGCGTACGGAGAGAGGGCGAAGTCGACTATAATTGACCTGGACCACACAGTTCCTCTTCTTCGTCGAGCTGCAAACCTGGTCCGCGCTGTGACATTCGCCGGGGGACAAATTCTTTTTATCGGCACGCGACCGGACCTGCGACCAATCGTGAAATCCGCCGCAGCGCGTGTCGGTGCACAGGGCTATTACATCAGCGGGCGCTGGATACCGGGGACCTTGACCAACACGGCCGAACTGTATGGTCCAGAGGTTGTTCAAGCTATCAAAGGAAGACCGGATCTGGTGATTCTCCTGAACCCTCTCTCCAACATGACGTGCATTCGCGAGTGCACGCTTGTCAACATCCCGACCATTGCCATCATCGACTCGAATGCCGATCCGCGCATCGTGACATATCCAATCCCTGCGAATGACGAGAGTCCTCAAGCTGCAGAGATCATAGCGGGCATCCTGAGCATTGCAGGTCGTGAGGGCTTGGCACTGAGACTCGAGGACGAGCTCAGAGACAGCGAAAAATTGTTGGATGGGGTGGAAGAAGAGGCTCAGAAGGAGAGGGACGCCGCACAGCGGCTCGCCGATGGAGAGGGATTCGACGTGACGGGTGAAGCAATGGGGGAGCAGTTTGGTTATAATACTGAAAACAAAAGTGCATGATACGTTTTCCTAATTATCGAGTTCGAGTGGGCGCCGTCTGTACGTCGGACCAGTAGCCTGCATTCCTGTTAGCCAGAAACAAGAGCAACGGAGATCACCTACGTTCAGCCGCCTCCAGAGCGCGGACGTTCCCTTGCAATTTGTTGATGGTTTCGGTGTACTCGTCCTCCTCGACGCTGTCAAAGACGATGCCGCCCCCAGCCTGGAGATACGCAACTCCGTCTTTGAAGGTCATGGTGCGAATGGCGATGCACGTGTCCATTTCATCCTCGGCAAAGTCGAACCGTCCGACTGCTCCGGCATAGACACCTCTCCGTTGCTTTTCCAGGGACGAAACAATTTCAATCGCCTTGATCTTGGGGGCTCCTGATACGGTCCCAGCAGGGAAGATTGATCGGAAAGCGTCAAATCTGGCACTCAGACTCAGCGATACTGCCGCCCGTTCTTGCTAGGAGACGCACCTGGTCTGGTCTGGGCGAAGAACCCCAGAAACTTGCGATGTCAAGTGTATTACGTGACTGAATTTTTCTACTCGCATAAGATGGTCGACCTTGACTGTCTTCGGCTGGCAGACTCGGTTCACGTCGTTGCGAGCGAGATCCACGAGCATGATATGCTCTGCTCGGTCCTTTTCCGAGTTGGCTAGTTCAGCACTAAGTCTTTCATCTTCTACAGAGAAAGATGTGTCAGCTGCGATAGCGAAGCGGCGAGCGAGAAGAAAGTACCCTCAGCGGTTTTGCCTCTCCTCGTTGTCCCAGCGATCGCGTGGTTGAAAACAACATTGTTTGCCACCTTGCACAATGTTTCCGGACTGGCGCCCACGATCTGTGTCCCGCCGCAATCCAGATAGAACATGTAAGGACTGGGGTTGATCTGTCGCAGATGTCTATACGCATTGAAAGGATGCAACGAGGTCTGCCGTGCTAATCGCTGTGAGGGGACGGCCTGGATGATATCCCCTGCAATGATGTGTTTCTTCAATGCTGTGACAAAGCCTTCGTAACCCTCCTTTCCGACATTAGACACGGCCTCGTGGCCAAGCGTGATGGGCGGTTGCAGCGGCTCAGGAGTAGAGTTCACGAAGAGACTTTTTGCAAGTCTTCGCGCCTTGGAGACAGCGGTCTGGTACACGAACGCTAGGTTGACGGTGCCAGCGTTCTTGGGGCAGAAGACGTGAGACACCACTTTTATCTTTTGGAACAAATGGTCGTAGATGACAAGTGTGTCGACGAGCATGAAGACGGATTCGGGGATGTTCAATGAGTCATCAAGCTGGCAGGCAGTTTTGGGTTCGAAGTGCTGGATGCAATCGTAGGACACATAACCGATCGCCCCACCCGTGAAGGTTGGCACTTCGGGGATCTTGATATATTTGTGCAGGGCGAGTTCCTTTTGCAGAATATGCATCGGATCGCCCGTGTGCTCTTCGCCGGGACCAGTCTTGATCACTTTGAAGGGGTCTGTCCGACAGCGATTGAGCAACTGTACGAAGCGATAGACTAGCATCGCACCTGCGCCAATGAAACTGTATCGAGCGACGTTCTCGCCATTCACCACGGATTCCAGCAAGAAACTGTATTTCGAATCCTTAGCCACACGGAGATAGGCCATGCATGGTGTCAGCAAGTCCGCAGGCAACTCTACATAGACAGGGACGCAATTCCCCAGTTTCTCCACATTGATGAGGTGCTCGACGGTCTCAAGGGAGGGTAGGGCGGTCAGTCGCTGGTCGGTGCGTCAATGCGAAGGAGAGTAAACATGATGGTCAGTGCGTACTTGTACGTTCATGATGCGCAGAGAGCAAGCAAGCCTATACTGGTTACATGAAAATGATTGCTCATGCTAATGCAACCCCTGAAGTCGCAGATGATCGCACGTAGCACACAAACACACTGACATGTTCCACGGCGGCTGACACCACACTCGTGGAAGGCGTACGTACGAACGATTCCGGATTTCACGCTCTTCGGGCACATCAAAAACATCCAATTGATCAAGAACCTAACATTATTACTGTTCTTTCACCCATGTTACAGTGAGAAGCAAGTCGAGATTCGGGGCAGATACAAAATGCGTCTATTATGAACTGCTTGGCTTTGCGATGTGCTGGCCCTCAGGCAACACATCGAAACCACTCTGCCCGAGATCGACGGGCAGAATCGCAGTCTCATCAACACCGCTGGCCAGAAGCCCTTCGGACTCCTCCACATCGGTGACCGTCACGATCGCGGGACGCAAGAACTTGGGAGGTTGGATGAGGTTGTTGAACACAAACTAGAAATGTATCAGGATGATCGGGAGCAGGCTAGCGCATGAACTCACGGTTCCGTAGCTAGAGAACATCCGGTAAGCACACATCTGAGAGCCTCTAGTGTTTCACTCACACTAGCAGCGAAAATCCGAGAATTTGGAGCAACGAGACCGGAAAGACCAGTTTCTCCCAACCAAGCATGAGACTGACGATCCAGATGGACAGCGTCCTGCAAGTGTCAGCCAAAGACCGGGCGGTTGCACTGGACGGTTCAGTATTGACTCAAGTTGGCGAGACTAGAATTCTACCTCACGTGACGAGTGACCGAAAGACCAAAGAAATTGTATAGTGAGATGCTGACGGCAATGACCATCCCAGAGTAGAGGACCGTGGGAGTGTTGATCATCTGACGCCATCCCCGAGCCAGATCAAAGAAGGGTGACTGTGACGCAACAGCGGGAATGGAGAGGATAGGGAAAAAGAGCAGGATAGTGAGAGCACCGAAGAGACCTTCGAAACCAACAGCAACCAGAGGCCCGACAGCATATTTGCCTGTTCGAGACCGAGTGAATGGATGATTCTACGGAAGAAAGGCGGATCCTGACCCATGATCTTCTCCTCGACAACAAATTGAGTTGCCGTGCTAACCAAAGGTGAGAATGTCTCGGACCAAAATGACAAGCGACTTACAAGATCTGTGCAACCAAGATGAAGAAGACACCTACAGACCCCCGCACTTAGCATGTGGCGATCAGAATGGAAGGTTTGCGAACCTAGGACAACTTGAGCGGCCTCGGGCGCTGGGTCCGTTCCCTCTGGAGGCGGCAACTCCGGCAAGTCTCCGGAAGTAACAAACGTGCGGACGAGCGCAAGGCTTTCCTTGACGGCGTCCTTGATGAGAGATCCCGAGTACCCCACGGCACAGACCCCGGTGATGACGACGAACAAGCTGACCCATTGGTACGCCCACAGACGTCGATGCAAGAAGATCACAGACAACACTCCCACAAATAGAACTAGCGAGCCACGGGACATTTGATAGATGGAGACGGGGGTGTAAAGTAGACCGATGTTCATCAAGGTCGTGCCGGTCAAGTCACATGCAGCTGGGATCCAGAGTAGTAAAATGCGCCATCCCTTGAGTTGTTCCGGTTCGGGTTCCCCATTGACTTTGTTGTTGGGAGCGAGCGATGCATCTTCTTCAGACAGATGGATGGCCGGTTGACGTCTAGATTGAATCCACGTGTAAATAACGGGCAGAAAGCACAACATCTCTCCGACTAGTGCGGATTTGGAGTTTGTTTCAGATGGTGGCTGAAGATGCCAAGAACGCACGGAACATCTGCAGAGTCTGCCAAACCGGTTGCTCGTAGAGAACCGGGTGATTCGTGTCGCAATCCTCAACACATTGCATATCCTTTGAAGGAGCTTAGCTTAAGAACGGCCAACGGAGATGCGTGTGGCTCACCTGCCATTTAGACCATAGAGAGTTGCTCGACCCTGTAGCACGTTCGAACCAGGCCCATTGCAACGACACAAGACATTCCATACCTGTGAGTATCATCCCCGCAAGGAGAATTGGAATGAATAGAGACGTCGGCATGAGTAGAATTGCGTGGTGGTGGGAAGTTCCAAGAAGACGCGTTGCAGCACTTGCGTGGTCAAGACCTAGGCGCTAATCAGCGGGCCAAAAGAGGACCGAAGGCAAGCTAAGTTGAAGAGCGTGACAAATGTGTGATAGGTGTGACTTGTGAGATCTCGAGAAGCCAGCTCAATTACTTAACAGCGAAGAAGCGGAGTATGGTCGTCCTCTCCAACGGCTTACTGTTGTCTACATCCTATGGTACACCTCACGCTCAGTACTAGCAAGGGTGAGTCCCATTCCTTCAGAGGCTTCCTCTATCTCATTCCTTCACTAGGCAATAATATCCGCTACTTCCCGTAGGCCTGGTTTATTCCCTTGGTGGTTGCCATAATCTCATTCTCTGCCCAGGTACTGTGGCCATTTGGGTCTTACGCCTGTTAAAGTCGAAGGAGGTCAGGTGGATATCCATTTCTCGCTCTGCTCGTTGCTCATTGTCTGCTTTAGTCGTACGAACGAGGCTCGACGCTGATCTCAAGCCGCTTCCCGCGAAATCAATCACCATATCCGTTCGATGCTATGAGGCGAAGCTAGGCCTTCTCGGGGTCGTGCAATCGAACGTGCTAGTGGACTATACGCAAGTGCTATGGTCCAACCCCGATGCACATGAAGAGTACAGAGAGATCGGCGATCTTGAATTCCCCTTCCGAATCTCGTTGCCAGCGAAGGTTGCGGGATTCAGTTCCGCACTTTATGCCTCGTTGTACCGATGCACATGGCGCGTCGAAGCCAGTGCGTGCTCCTTTCCCGAACCCCGAGTTTCATGAGCAGAAGAGTTTACAGTCGTCAACCATGCTCCGATTACAGGCGTTGGATCGCGAACCATGCGGTACTCCGAGTTGCCTTTACGACGGTTCGGCCTCCCAAGGTCTTCGACACCCATTTCAAAGGCCGTGTTGAACGATGAGGTTCAACACCCTCATTTACCACCCATCCGTTTCTCTCTCCACGCACCCACAACACCCATTGGACCTCTTGATCTTGTCTCCATCCCCATCCATCTGATGTCTTCAGATCCCAGCGTTGCTGTCCGTAGTGCGAGTGCCATCGTCGAACGTCGCATGCGTTTTCTGGAGCTGGCTCCTTCACCTTCAATTCCTTCGGCAACTAATTCTTCGACCCTACAATCGCTCGGGAGTTCCCAGGCAACCTCACCTCTCCCTATACCGCAGCGCAAAGCCTCATCCTCGTCGCTCTCATATTCCCCGTCGTCATACCCTGAATCGACCGTATCCACTTTGAATGCCTCTGACAATCGCTCATCGAGCTCCATTACGGTACACTCTATCGCAGGGACTGAATCGTCCGGTTCCTTCCACCGATCAGAGTCCGGTGTCTGGAGCAAAACGCTCACATTACAATGGCCAGCGGCGAAATCTAACAGTCGATGGTCCATTGGGGAGTCTATAGAATCCGAGCTGGTGTCGATCAAATTCGTCCTGCGAGTCAAGGTATGAAGGTCTCTTGCCGTCAGAGTTGTTGGGATACATAATTTGTTTCTAGGCGGTTGTTTCATCGTCTTCTGGAACTGAGTCTTTAGAACTCCCTGAGAAAGAGCTGGTGATCATTGCAACGAATGAAGCCGAACGTCAACTTGCCCTTTCTCAGACTCAAGAAGGCCATCAGGGCACAAGATCAAAATCCAAGTCCCCTCGGCGGTCGCACCGAATCGACGACGACGTTCCCCCGATACCAGCCACAGCACATACGGAAAGCTCCCATCGTCTCACATCTTCCTCGCCTCATGGGCTGGTCTGTGCCTCCCGACCGTCACGCAGGCCGCACACCAGTGCTGGCCCAAGCGACCAATCGCGAGCACGCTCATTCCCTCATGAGCCCGCGGCTCTTGATCTCTTCCAAAGCCCCGAAAAGCTCGCAGCTGTGCCTTCCAGCGGTGATGAGCTTGGGGCCGCTGCCGATAGTGGCAGCAGCGCTAGCAGCACTAGTATAAGCACCTCTAGTAGCTACAACAACCCGTTGGACGATGTGAAGGTGGCAGAATGGGAACAAGAGCTGGCCCGGATCGAGATGAGAAGTCGGCGTTCCAGCGACTTAGTGGGGTTTTCGAGCAAGAGAGGGAGTATGCGGCCTGCAGTAATTTGACTTCTCGTGTGTGTATTGTACTTCACTTATCATTCGTATTGTATATTACTTAGTCTCAGTCACGAGCCGTTACTGGCACAGCACATACCTCAAGCTTGTCCTCCTCCACTACTAGCAATCAAAATCGGCCCGATGCCTCCAGCATTCCCTATCGGAAGATTCACCGCGCTAACGGCCACATGTTTGTCCAGCTCCCTTTCGATACCCAGACGTTGAACGCATAAACTGAATGCAGTGGTCGGCGCCGGACTATTACTGCTCAATAGTAAGTGCATGCACCGGAACCCATTTCGTCTCTTTATTCGCTTCAGCTACTGTTCCGAGCGAAGAAGAAGCTTACAAGGTCCGCATTCACGACATCCGCCACACATCTAAACCCTGACCGTGTTGGCCGCCTAGCGACTGTCGCCTGGAGAGAGACAGCGCGTCGATGAGGCCCGAGCTCGTCGTGCCGCGCAGGAAGCAGAGATCCGCAGGAAGGTATTCGCGAAGGCATGTGGGGAACGTTGCAGTAGTGGAGATTGTCACTCACTCACATCTTTTCCCTGATTCTTAGGAGCCACTTGACTCGGACTCATTCCGGCCAACTTGGGTCGACGTCTCCAAAAAGTAGAGCCATGCATGGAAGGGGAGATATATGTATGTGATATTCATTCCGGACCGGCTCTATATGCGCTACAATACACCGATGATTACGATATTAACGAAGTGGGTAAATGTCCCTCGTGTACAACTGGGAATAAGACAGTTCAACGAATCGCATTCATTGCGTTCCGCCATGAGACGCACCACTGAATAGGTCAGCAACTAGTCTGACAGAACGCGAGATTACACACCCGAAATAGCCGGGAGCATCTTCCTGGGGTACTTTCGTAGGCGTGGTTTCGTTCGGGCTGTCTCCCAGGAGGGGCGCGTGGGCTACAAACGAGTCTCCATCCGAATCCGGCGAAGAGGGCAGATTGTCGTAGGTAGCTCCACCCATGACTGACGATGTCGTGGAAAGAACAGAGGCCATAGAGTCCTGATGAATGGGAGGAGCTGGCCGGATAACAGTAGTCAGGTTGGGTTGTTCAGCGACTGCTTCGCTCGAAGCTGTTGTCTCGGACTCGAATGCGACCTCGGGTCCAACAGACTCCTCACGGAGAACATGAGGCTCTACGGAGGTCGTGGGAGGTTCTACAGAGACCACCAGCGTCGGCGGGGCTTCCACCTCAGAACTGTCGCTCATAGAGGTGATTTGCTCGTTCCCAGCGGCAGTCACGACCGCAGACGCCGTCGAGACGGCACTTAGTGCTGCAGTAAGTGTCGAAAACGGCGGAGGACTGGAAGTGCGTCGTCGCCAGCCGTTTGCCGTATCCCTGAGAGCTTGGAGAGGGCTGGGAGACGGCGATCTGCTACGCGACGGATTCTTGTTCACATCGAGTGTGTTAGCCGCCTGGGAGGCAGAGGGTAGGAGATTAATGCTGCTTGTCGAGCGAGCTTCGATGGTAGACGGTCCCGGCCCTGCTAATGCGGGTGCGGAGATGGATGTCGATGGTGCTGTAGGCTGCTGTTCTGTGCTTCCACTTTCCGTTTTCTCTTTCTTCTTCTTCTCCTCCGCTTCTTTCCGTTGCTGATTCTCGTGCTCAATCAACGAGAGTCGCATTGCTTCCATCATCATGAGCTAGGAATGTGAGACAACGGCCAATCGTAGAAAAGAAGCCAAGCAAACCTCTTCCAGTTCCTGCCCACCCATCCCCATAAATTGCTCCATACCACCATTGCCAGCACCCGGCTGTCTTCGACGAGATCGTCGGCTGACCTCTGTGCCAGGGTTCTCTGCCTGGGCAGCAGCTTCTTCGGGGCTGAGCGCATGGACGCGTCCGCTAGTCACTCCCACAGGAATGAGCCGATCTCCCACCTGCCGCATGATGATCCTCCTGTTTGCCCGACGAGCAACAGCGGCTCGGACAGCGGCGAGCTTGGCCTCCCAGTCAGGACGGATGTGATCTGAGATGTGGGCTCGTCGATGACTGGAGACCACAGCTAGTATACGCACCAGTAAGAACAACTTCCGCGCTATCAGCACTGAAACTCTTCTGACGTCGTTTATGAGTAGGGTATGGAGCTGCAGTCTCGATGGATGGTGAAGAGCTCTTCGACGATTCAGACCAATTGGAATGCTAGAATCTTGGGTGAGGGGGCGGAGGGATACATTCCAGACGAACTCACCGATCCCTCCGGCGTGATACCTGCTCTCCAGGGAGGTGGGGTGTATACGATACCGAAATTGTCTTGCACACAGTAGGGACAAGCGGCCGGTTCCGAGACGAGATGTGTAGTTGTCGGCTCGTTGCGTTTGATTTGAACAAAACACTCGGTGCAGATGGCTTGGTCGCAACACCGAGAGTGATTTATGTTCGGCGGATAGTACTGTGCATAGACATGAGCATGGCACACGACATTGGCCGTCGAATCTGCTGACCAGAAAGCAGATAGGGCATTCGACAGCACCTCGATATAACGCAGCTTCAGCCTTGCTGGGCTCCTTGAGAGAGCCAGGTCGTTTGGACGATTTGGGGACCGACGGGGGCTGCGAGGGCTGTTGTTCCCCATCACTGTCGGGTAGCTGCTTCCGTGCAGCGAGAATCTGGTCATCATCCCAGGACTCGTCGAAGTCTTCAAGGGGTCTGTAGAATGGCGCTAGCCGCCTGGCGATGATGAACTGGGCGGTGATAGACTGATTCCAATCTCGAGGTCCTGTGTAGACACCTTGAGGAACAAGTTGGCCGTAGTCGACCGAGTCGTCCTGGGGTCGTCCGGAAGAGGAGTTGTTACCCATCGACCTCGTGTTTCAAATTCAGTTCGCGAGTGCTGAGAATTGACGGTGTGTGCCTGCTGCTCAACTCCCCGCAGATGTTGGCGCAAGACAGCCCGTGTAGCTTGGCACTGTTTGTACTTGGGTCTTTCCCTGGTCCTCTCCTCGCAAGTTGCCGCATTTCGCCACTACGGCTGCAACGCAAACAGCGACGCGACGATTGCCCTGTGTACGGCGGCCTGTCTATCTAGTCATTTGCGCCCTTAGATTGGATATTCGGCACTTTCATCCTTCAGTCGCCGGGCTGACGTGTCTGAATCTCTAGCACCCACGTGCTCGTATAAAATTCCACAGCTTTCGTTCCTTACCCTTACACTGCCCTTGAACCAGACATGGAGGCTCCCTGGGCTTTGACTTCTCAGGAAGTTTTGGACCATTTTGGTGTCGATATCGAACGCGGTCTCACCTCGGACCAAGCTGCGAAGCATGCGCAAATCTATGGGAAGAATGGTGCGTCCTTCGGCATGGTCCTGTTCATTATCTATCTTCATAATTATCTCTAGAACTCCCTGAGGAACCATCCACTCCTCTCTGGGAATTGATTCTCGAGCAATTTCAAGACCAGTTGGTCCTTATATTGCTGGCTTCCGCGGTCATCTCCTTCGTTCTCGCCTTAGTCGAGAACACGGAGGAGTCCTCGTTTGCCACAGCTTTCGTCGAACCGCTTGTGATCTTGTTAATTCTTATCGCCAATGCTGCCGTCGGAGTGATACAAGAGAGTAACGCTGAGAAGGCCATCGACGTGCGTCGCTTACTTTCTGCATTTGTCCAGCGCTAAACCGTTTTTCCAGGCTCTCAAAGAATACTCCCCAGATGAAGCCAAGGTTGTTCGGTCAAGTCAAGTGGCTCGCATCCATGCCTCTGAACTCGTGCCGGGAGATATTGTGTCGGTGGCTGTTGGAGACAAGATTCCTGCGGATTGTAGACTGCTCTCAGTGTCATCGAGCAGCTTCCGTGTCGACCAAGCCATTCTTACTGGAGAGAGCGTCAGCGTCAACAAATACGTCGATGCAGTCACGGACCTCAAGGCTGTTAAACAAGATCAGACGAATTTGCTCTTTTCTGTCAGTCTATCTTGATTTTTCTTTGTGAGGAGAATTCTGAAGGGCTTCTAGGGCACCACCGTCGTGAATGGCACAGGCAAAGCAGTCGTCGTTCTCACCGGCGCGAAGACTGCTATCGGAGATATTCACAAGTCCATCAGTTCCCAGATTTCAGAGAAGACGCCCCTCAAACGCAAACTGGACGACTTCGGTGACATGCTCGCTAAAGTTATTTCTGTCATCTGCATTCTTGTCTGGCTTGTCAACATTCGGCACTTCTGGGACCCTTCACACCATGGTGCCCTGAAGGGTGCCATCTACTACTTCAAGATCGCAGTTGCACTAGCAGTAGCTGCCATTCCAGAGGGTCTTGCTGCGGTCATCACGGCTTGTCTTGCGCTTGGCACCAAGAAAATGGCCCAGAAGAACGCTATTGTGCGCAATCTCCCCAGTGTTGAGACTTTGGGATGCACAAACGTCATCTGCTCCGACAAGACAGGAACCTTGACGACCAACCAGATGAGCGTGTCCCGGGTGAGCTTTCATGTCTCGCTCATCACGGAGATTCTGAATAGCCCTCAGTTCTTGGTCATAGACGGCAAAACAATGAGCCCACGGGAGTTCACGGTCGAGGGCACCACGTTCTCGCCGTATGGGTCTGTGAAATCCGCTGAGGGCAACGACGCCTCTGCTGAACTCAAGTCAGACGCCATCCAGCGGCTTGCGGAGATCAGTGCTGTCTGCAATGACTCTAAAATCATCTACAATGCTGTTCGTCGCGTTGGATGCATATCATCTGTGTAGTCAACTGATCAATACGCAGGATAAGGCGGCATACAGCAATGTTGGAGAGCCGACAGAAGCAGCCTTGAAGGTTCTTGTTGAAAAGCTGGGCTGTACCGATGCGGAACTGAGCAAATCTCTCGCCACTCTGGCTCCCGAAACTCGTGTCGGCGCTGTCAACCAGTTTTTCGAGAGCACCATCGCGCGCTTGCTCACTTTCGAGTTCTCTCGGGACCGTAAAATGATGTCTGTGCTTGTCAAGGCGCACGGGTCCGGCGCACTCTTTGCCAAGGGAGCTCCTGAATCAGTTCTGGAGCGCTGCACCTCGGCTCAGGTGAATGGCAGCGTCGTTCCTCTGACTCCTCAACTTCGAGCGGCAATTCTGGCAAAAACTGTTGTCTACGGAGCGAATGGTCTTCGCACACTGGCGCTGGCGTACGCTAACATCCAGGACCTCGATGTCTCCCACTACAAGGCGGAAAACTCCAGTGATTACGCACGCTTCGAACAGAATCTCACCTTCGTATCGCTTGTCGGCATGTTAGATCCTCCCCGCCCCGAAGTTCGTGAAGCTGTGGCGAACTGCAAAGCCGCAGGAATCCGTGTCATCTGCATCACCGGGGACAACAAGGGAACGGCAGAGACCATCTGTCGCCAGATTGGCATCTTTGGAGAAAATGAAGATCTCAGCGGAAAGAGTTACACAGGCCGTGAGTTGGACGACCTGTCCGAGGCAGAAAAGATCGAAGCTGTGCAACGGGCCAGCCTCTTTTCGCGGACTGAACCATCCCACAAGAGCCAATTGGTAGATCTATTGCAAGGGCTAGGTTTGGTGGTGGCAATGGTGCGTTTTCTGCAACGGTGTTGGAATCTTCGTTGACCTTACTCAGACTGGGGACGGAGTAAACGATGCTCCTGCGCTCAAGAAAGCCAACATTGGTGTTGCCATGGGCAGTGGTACCGATGTGGCAAAACTCGCGGCCGACATGGTTCTTGCAGACTCCAACTTTGCAACAATAGAGAAGGCCGTGGAAGAGGGTAGACTTATCTATAACAATACAAAACAATTCATTCGCTATCTTAGTAAGTCGGACATCTCTCCATCTTTCTGACTGCTTTACTGACAATGCCTGCAGTTTCCTCTAACATTGGAGAGGTCGTCAGGTGGGTCTTATAAATTCATTTGGAACTCCTCCGTGACAATTCTTGACCAGTATATTCCTTACCGTGCTTCTGGGGATGCCAGAAGCTCTAATTCCGGTACAACTGTTGTGGGTCAACCTGGTGACCGACAGTCTGCCAGCGACCGCTTTGGGCTTCAATCCTCCAGATCATTCGATCATGCGTGTCCCGCCGCGGGACAGCCGTGAGCCCTTGGTCGGAAAATGGCTATTCTTCCGATACATGGTTGTTGGGACGTATGTTGGCTGTGCCACGGTCGCCGGATATGCGTGGTGGTTCATGTTCTACTCGCAAGGGCCCCAGATCTCCTTCTATCAATTGGTGAGTGACATCTCCAATCTTCCTGATCGCTCCCAGCTCAATCTGAGCAGACGCACTTCCACCAATGTTCGGCCTTGTTCCCTGAGATCGGCTGCCAAATGTTTACCGACATCATGGCCCGTCGTGCAACGACCATCAGCCTGTCGATCCTCGTCACAGTCGAAATGTTCAATGCTATCAACTCGTTGTCAGAAAACGAAAGTCTGCTTGCACTCCCCGTGTGGAAGAATCCGTTCTTGGTTGCTGCTGTTGCCCTCAGCATGGGGCTGCACTTCATGATTCTCTACGTGCCGTTCTTCACGGCAAGCCAATCTTCTCTTCCGTCGAGGTAGACGCTGACTTCGAATCTCCAGTCGCTATTCGCGATCACGCCCCTCAACTGGGCGGAGTGGCAAGCTGTGCTGTACTTCAGTGCACCGGTCATTCTCATCGACGAGATCCTCAAGTTCATCTCTGTGCGCCACTTCTCTCTGTTGGCTGTTCTTTTCTCACAGTGATCAGGCGACATTCATAAGCCCTCCGACCAAGTTGAAGCTGGATTGATTTGCAATGCAAATCTCTGTGTAAATAGCCTGGGGCGTGAATCATTGGGTTCTTTCAGTAATGAATTCTGTTTGGTTGTGTGTACTGTGTACAGTTGCAATCCACTAACCCCTGTGCGGCAACCTGCTCCTATTCGCTTGATATATCGCCTCGCTCCTTCACACTTTTCTGAACTTTGCGCTCATTCTAATCCGACCCTATGCTCTCTTCTTCTCTCTCAATCCTCGCTCTGGCTGTTCCTCTCGCTTTGGCGGCTCATCCGTCGTCTCATGTCAACCGCGGCCACCATGAGTTAGCTCAAAGGTCGAGAGCCGAGAACTCCTTGGAGAAAAGGGCTTCTTATTCCGGCGTGCGATTTACTTTCTACGAAGCCGGCCTGTTCGTGTCAAGCCTTTTCGGTCTCAGCGATTCCTAACACGTCCCCAGAGGTGCCTGTGGTCACGTCAACACGGATTCCGATTATGTGCGTCAATGAACCTCCTCGTCCATCTCGCTCACGCAACGCAGATCGTTGCGCTCAGTCAAGATGTAATATCCGCCGATCCTCTGTGTCTGCGAGCTTGACTTTACACGCAGGTTTTTGGATGGACCTACCCCAGTCCATGGTGCGGCCAACAAATCGAAATCAGATACAAGGGCAAAAGCGCAATTGCGACTATCATGGACTCGGTGCGTGGATCAACTTTTGCCTCTCGCGCTGACGGCAACTGGGGATAACCAGTGCCCTGGGTGTTCCAACGGTGACCTCGATTTCACTCCTGGCCTGTTTTCGCATTTTGCATCCCAGGATGCAGGTGTCATCTACGGAGATTGGAGCACCACAGGCGATAAGGGTGGTGGCGACACAACCACTTCAACGCATGAGAAGACCACGAGCACAACCCAGAAAACAACTTCAACAACCAGCACTACCAGCACACACCACACCACTTCAACGCATACATCTACGAGCACGACGACGACGACGTCGTCGTCGTCCTCATCGTCGTCTTCATCGTCATCCACGACCTCGATCTCAACCACACTAGCAGCGAGCTCTCAGTCCGCCCTTTCGTCGTCTGCGTTGTCAACAGTTGTCTCGAGCTCAGCCAGCCCGTCGGCATCGGCTTCCCTCGCTCCGGCTACTGGCACCAATGTACCGCCGACGTCGTCCAATCCGGAAAATCTCTACACCTTCTCCCAGGCAATACTTGGTCTTTTGGGTGTCGTTGTTCACGGCCCAGCATAGCATATCGTTATGTAATATTTTATGCCCCTCGTCTCCTTAGTGCTGGACAACTTTGTGTGACAAGAATTAGAGTGCATTTGGATGTTAAATGACGTGGATATTGAACACATGGAGAGAGATCGGGGGAAGCACTACTTAGCGATAACACTGCACCATGAGCACTTGTAAGCCGGAGTCCTTGACCCATTTGCGCGGCATGGTATCGCGACTCTTGCGCAAATCGCGCACGAGGGCGGACCTGCTCTTGTGCATCACACTCTGAATCGCAGTCGGACCTTGTTCCCGGACGTGGAGATATTCGCCAATATTCAGAAACAGATGCGATTTGATTAAGGCGCGGGCAGACGTCAGCGATGCAGGAAGTGTCGATGAGGCGAGGCCGCATTCGATGATCAGTGACTGGAGAAACGTAAGTCGACAGAGCGAAGTCGGGTCTCCAGCCAGGAAACTAAGTATGTACTCGGTTAGTTCGATCAAAGCGACGATGCCATATGGGGAACCGCGTACCCGCTAATATAACGAGCAGCTGTGTCGTACATCCCACCCTCGGTATCGATGTCCGTTTCTGACATAACGGATACGTCGTCAACGATGGAACGCGACCCTAAACCTTGGACGGATGAATCCGGGCTGGTGCTTCCGCTACGTTTGGCTGTCCGCCTTCGACGACGACGTCTCGCCTTGCTTGGATTCGAGGTGGTGGTAGCGGATGCGAGGAGAGGGGTGCAAGGAGCGGTAGGAGACGCAGAGTGTACCTTACTATCTGCTTTCCGACCTCCTAGCTCTCGGGTCTCACACTGCAGCCGATCGGGAGCCCCACTGCCAGACTGTGCTGATCCAAGGCTGAGGCAGCCTAGATCCTCTATAGTTTCATGTTCATGCGGAGCTTGCAATGGTGGATTGGCATTCGGTGGCACCGCAGAACGCGGACGGCTGAGAACGACAAAGTCGTCGTCGTCGCCGTCGTACAGCGGGGATGCGATGGAAGAGGCAGTAGAATCGATACCCCAGATAATTTCATCGTCTGAACCCCCCAATAGGATCCCGGTTGTGTGAGAAGAAGAGGTGGTGGAGGAGCGGGAGCGATGGGTAAGAACTTCAAACGAGGAAGTCGCGGACATGGCCGGAGACGAGGGAACGTCGGTGGGGGGGCTCATGACAGCACCACTTAAAACGTGTAGAAAGTAGATTGGCAACGAGGACACAGGCTGGGAAAATCGAGAGAAATTGATTTGAGGCAGACAGACAGACAGACAGACAGACTGGGGAAACTTGGCGACCAGCAGATGTGATAGCAGATGTAATGGTGGTGGTTAGGGAGAAAGGGGTCTCCAATACACAATTGTATATCGATAAACGCCCCTCACGACCTGCTCAAGCCCGATGCTGCGGTCCCACACTCGACCCTGCAAGTGGGTGACTTCCCGTAAGCCTAGATATCAGATCTGGAACGAATAAATGTTGTTTGCCGAGATACCGGGGCTCTGATCAGGACCCCATCTTGCTAAGATCTCGCTGAGAGCCTCTTGAGGCCTCTTACAGATTTTAAACTGGAAGGGGGGTCAGGACCCCCCTTCCAGACTACCAACCCTCGAATAAACCAATCGCGGAAGGTAATGACAGGCATGATCATTGCGTTTGTGGCTGTGTGACTTTCGCGTCACTCCTTCTACCTTTGTCCCGACGCATCGAGCAGCTCGTATCGGAGCGCCCGAGAGCTCTAGCACTCCCTTATCTCCATAATAATCCAACATATGCCTCTGTGTATCCCCATTCCTACCGGCAACTACCGAAACCTGCGGTTGTAGAGCTTGTAGCCGAGCACCATTTTGCAATTCGCTAGCAATGGTGCGCAAGGTGGTGGGGCAACATGGAGGCTTTTGAGGTCATGGTGAATATATGTTCTCCACTTCATCGTGGCTGCGGCGTGGCTCTAGGGTATTTAAGGCGTGAACTTGTGGTGAGTTACTTCCCATTTTTTATCGCTCATTCATGGTATTTACACCATACCATGGATAACCAGGATCCCAATCAAGCTCTTCCTCCCTCCTCCCCTCACTATACCTTTCTGGAGACGCCTACCAGCCACCTATCGGCCACCTATCGAGCTCCCGATCGAGCTTGGTACATTTCTCAAGATAGACAGGTGCATCGTCCTTCTGCATGTCTTTCAATGTCATTTCTCATTCTCTAAACAGCTCTCCGCTCCTAGGAACAGTGCACTTGGTGGTGCACCATTTGTGACTCAGCCCCCGCTGCTGCCCCAGCAGCAACAGGCTCAATACACATGGTCCATTGAACCTGCACGGACACCCATCCCTATCGACCCTGCTCTCCTTCCCCTGCCCGACAGCTCTGATGTTGACCTCCGACACCCACTGACTATTGCTCAGCTTTCTGGGCTGCCAAGGGCTGACAAGGTGGCTGGGAGTCGTGCAAACGGGAAGCGCCATGCTCGAAGCTCTGATCGCAAAGGCAAAAAGCGCTCGGCATCCTCAGATCTTGAGGGTACAGAGAAGAAGCGTCGGGGACGGCGAGCCGGGACCACAAACTACGGTGCCTCTGAGGTCAACCATCTGCTGAATCTCGCCCATAAGCGCCGTCCTGGTGGTGGAAAAGCTTGGGAGAGTCTCGCCGGAGAGTATAACACTTGGGCATTATCACACGACTTCGAGGAGCGGACATCCACATCGTTGACAAACAAGCTCAATGCAGTGAGTTTCTATCTTATTTCATTTGCATTTCTAACATTTCTTACAGCTTGCTCGCACAACCAAACCCACGGGAAGTCGTGAACGTCCTGCCAAAGTTAAGCGGGCACTCGAGATCATGACTCTTATCAACGAGCGAACTGGTGCTCGCAATTTGGATGACCTTATGGGCGACTCAGCCGATGAAATGGATGACGACCCTCATGCGGACGACCCTCATGCAGACAACTCCGACGACTCCGTTACCTTTGTCCATGGCCCCGTTCGGACTGCTGTTGCGCGTCGTGCTCCCTCCCCTCCTCTTTCGCGCCAAACCAGTCGCCAAAATGCGACTCACCTCGCCAACACCCTTGCTCATTCGCTTGGCCCTGAGGGTCAGATGGCACGGGAAGAGGCTCGTTCTCGTTGCACCTACGAGAATGCCCAACTTTTCAGCCTTACCCAACAGCTACGAGATGTGCAGGCAGAGCTGAGCCGAGTCCGCTCTGAGCTGTCTGAGTCCCAGCGAGCCCGGGATTGTGCTCAGCTGAAGTTGGAGATGATCGAAGAGATGGGTTCGCATGCCTCGTGGATCTCACATTCTCGCACCCACTCGCCTCATCCTTGCAACCGTGGCCGTTCGTCAAAGAAGAAGGATTACCAGCCAATCAAGTTTCCCGAAGGCGCAGATGTATGCGATGGGAAGATGCGGATCACAGAGAAGCTGGAAGGTGGCGGGGAAGTAACATGGTGGGCTCCCAAGAGCGAGACCGAATGGAGCCCGAGTCCTCGTCCTGTTCGCCGCTGCCGTTCCCCCACTTGTAACGCAACCCCCGGGCCTTCCCATCAACGCAATGCTTCTCCCAGTCACTCTCATCATCGATCTCCATCCCCGGTTCTTGCTGGACCTTTGGTGACCGGGGATGCCATTCAGGTCGTGATGACCCCACACAAAGGAGGCCCTTCTGTCGGGTTCATTATCAGTCCTTCGAAGGACTCTTCTATGGACTAAGCTTGCTTAGTACAGTCCCTCTTACTGTCCTTACATGTTATATATATATTTCTTGTCACACTAACTGTTGTCGGTCTTTACATCACAATACACATTCGTTTGCATTGATTCAAGTGACATAGTCCGGAAAGTTATGATAACGAGCGACCCGATCCTTCCTCCGCTGGTCTGAGAAGAGCATCTGCTCGAAGTTGGACCAAACCTCCTCGTCATCTTGACTCTCCCTCCAAACTGGCATATAGACAGTGCGAATTTGATTGTGTCCGACCCGATTTGTACGAAGGTTGTGCAATCGCAGACAGAGTTCAATCATATTACCTCGCCTGTTGTTGTCGTTGATATCCAACGGGATTCGTAGTCGTCCAAACGCGCCCTGAACAGATCTCATACCCCATTCGACAGTTTGACGATATGCCAGCAATTGCCGATCGAATTCGAGCCGCTCTTGGATCTCGTCTTCACGTCCAGTGATAGTCTGTCCCGACTTGATGGGAGCCCGAATCTTGCCTTCGATCTGTCCAGTACCGCGAGGAAAGGCCGTGTCCGCAACAAGATAGAAGCCAGCCGGTGTATTCTCGCGAAGCTTCTCGTATATTGGTCGCGCAACTCGAGAGTCGTGCCAACTTCCAGGACAGTTGATGCTTGCAGCAATGATTATGCCTATTTCAAAAACCATTAGCTCATTCAGAATGGATCATATCACACATACCTTTCGGAGAGAAGACGAGGACATTGGAGTTACAGTGATTGCACTTCCAGCCGTTGTATGTCTCATTCTCAATCTCCGGATCTGAAGAAGTCTCGGACAATAGCTCCAGACCATCGATCCCCGCAAACGCTCCTGTGAGGACAGGATGCCGCTTGACAATGAGCGTGTTGAGCTCTCGGAATTCGTCGACAGTCACTGGCCAAGCAATTCGAGCGTCGGGTATCTTACGCAGCACATTCAACAAGATGGCACATGCAAAGTTGATATATCGAGAGACGGTGGTGGGAATGAGCGCAAAGATTTGCTGTAAGCTGATCTCGCGCATGGTGGACGTGAGGAAGTGCAATGCCAAGCCGAGAGCACCGGCGGCATCAAGTGAACGTCCACCAGGGCATGGCTTTCCCGCGTGTGACACGTCGTTCCGTGGAATAGGTGTTGCGACCCAAGCAGCGGCGAAACCGTCGTCGAGAATGCTGTCGAAAGTGGCTGTATCGAATCCCATGGTGGTGATGAATGCCCGATCGCTGCGGCTGCCGTGCAGGACCTGCCAAGGTGTACTGAACCGGGGGTTGGGCATGAGCTGTGGACGGCAGAGATACAGGCGGCTAGGGAGCCGTCGCTCAGCGCGCAATCGACGCGCCTCCTCTATCCCGACCATGACCGCAGCGAAGGCGGTCAGACGATCCATCACATCCTCTTCCTCCATATCATCCTCCATCTCCTCCGCGTCCTTCATCCACATAAACGCGTCTCCGTCCATCCTTCGCTCTGCAATACGGTGGGCCGAAGATCCAAGAGATTGATGTTTGTTCATGCATCATCGCTATGTGATCTCTGTCTACATCTGTAGTTCGAATACATTTGGCTTCCGGGTTACTACATCCTGTAGACTCTAATATCACTTCGCTTATTTTGCGTGATGGCACCACTCAATTTACAGAAAGTATTATCTGGGCTTACGGGAAGTCACCCAGTCCTTGATTCGCCGCGCCTGTACTCTTTGCAGCTGAATCCGGCCCGGATCAGTCTTGGCGGCTGTCGGCATTGCTAAACGGCCCCTTTCCCATCACCAAGTTTAAGTAAGTACCTTTGAGGTTCTGCCTCCAGACACACAGATCAGGTCCACCTGTGACAGGCCGTAGAGCAACTAGGACATGTCCTGATAACAAGATATAGATGTTGCTGGTTGTGATTTGTCACACGCTGGTGCTTTCCTCATTGTTTGACAAGCTGTGAGCCAAATCCAATTACTGTATGCCAAGCCAAGATGCAATAGGAAGCTGGGAAGCATACTGATGTGTATGTAGGCAACTGTCACATGTAACACACCATTTTTGCATTGCCTAATTTGGCCCCTGTAACATGCAACACAGGCCCCATTGCCAGCAGGTACAAGTTGCCTCCCCCACAAAGAGTCCTGAAATTGCCAAAAAAAAATGGAATTGATTCATCTTTCTCAGAAAGATTTATATACTGGTCAAAAACAAGTCCTCAGTCAAAAATTTTCCTTCAGAATCATAACCACAGATGTTCTCTGTAGTTTTTTCCTTGCTGTTTTTTTTTTAGTTCTGCATGCAAACTGGCTCAAAAAACCTGGCTGCCCCTATCAGCCATGACATCCTTGCCTTTGAAACAATATTGTTGTGGTGTAGCAAGCAAGAGATCTGTGAGTTCCTCATTACTGGTACACAAGGCATAATGGATGACCACTACTTGTCCATTAACCACCACCTTCCTAATCCGGAACACGATGCCGACAACATTCTCCAACAGTCCTCAACTCACAGACGGACAAACAGCGCACTGGAGCTACAGATGGTTGTAGGATGGTACTGTAGAGAGTGGAGGGACAAACAATAAGGATGTAGGACTTTTATAGATGGAGCACGAATCTTCACACTATCAACACCTAATTTTCTGATTCTAAAACCCCTCGAACACACGTCTCATTGCCGTTTCCTTGTGAGACTAGCCTGTAGACAAGAGGAGAATCACTCTCCTTTCACCATGGTCATCCTGAGCCTCACCACAGCAACAATGTGGGAGCGGGGAAACTTCGGAGATTTGCAAAAATTTTGCTTCTCCGCCTTGCTCGTCTTCCACTCATCCTCCACCGGTCTCTCTCCTTCATCCCTCGTCTTACTACCCACCAGTAACAATCACATTGACCACCACCATCACATTCACAGAACCGACTCAACACACCTCAGACACATGTCCAGCACATGGAGCCCTTTCTCGTGTGGCTACAGACAAGAGGAGAATCATCTGTTGAAACTTTGGGCAACGACTCACGCACAGAGGAACCTTGGAGGATTGTGAAAATTTTGGGAATGCGTCTCCTGTACTCACTGCCTTTCCCTCCTGTTTCTCCCGTTGTCTGTAACTGTTGGGACTCAGGAGCTCACAACACTGCAAGCGAACCTCACCATACACCCTTGCCTGTGACCGCAAATACCTCACTCACCATGAGTCACTTTCATCATTGATCATGAGCCACACTGCCTCTCAACAGCCCCAGGCCTACCAGCTGTTGAGCACTGGGGAGAGCGTCTAGCAACCCACCTGTGTGAGTTGAGAGCTTAGTGTGGGCACTATGCGGGAGTAGTCAAGAGACTTGTATTAAAGGGTAATAGAGCCCTCCTTATATATGATACAGGGGGCTGTTTGTGTCTATTTGGGACAAGTCAACATGACTCTAGATGACATGTGATGGAGTCATAGATGTGTATCACAACATCCATCTTGACAGATGATATTTGATTGACACTCCCCCATGCTGAAAACCACAGGATAGTGTTTGAAAGCGAAATCTTCATTGGCCATTCCTTCAGGACGAGTTGAACTCAAGTCCTAGTTGGGACCTGAACTTCTTGAACTTGACGCGTCCTAGGTTCTTGGTGAACATATCTGCAGGATTCTCACTGCCTGGGATAAAGAACAGTTCAACCTCTTCTTCCTCGACTTGCTCACAGATGTAGTGATAACGGATGTCTATATGTTTCATCCTGTGGTCTCGGTAGGCATTGCTGCCACTGAAGAGTGCACCCTGATTGTCACCGCAAATGGGTACTGGGATGGTGAGTTTGAACTGGAGTTCCGAAAGGACACTCTTCAGCCACATCACCTGGCGACTACAGTCTGAAACCGCCATGTTGTCATAATTTGACTCTTTTTCATCTTATCCTCAACGATCTCATCTTATCTCGACACGGATTATCTTATCGCGGATCACGGCCTCTGACGGTCTGGGCTAGGGGGGACAGGGGTCATCTTTATCGATTCAAGGCTGCGCAACATATGCTCCGGAAGGTTCTACTACAACCCATGACCAGCGTTCCATGCGGTACATAGCCCTATGACTCATCAGTTGTAGATATGACTCAGACTGGACTTGGGTATAAATACTGTAGTTACTTGGTTGTATTCTCCAGTCTTCGAATTCACTTCTCTTTTTGACTATTATTTTTGGTTGATTGTCACATAATTCGAAGACTCCCCTCATACCCTCGTACCTCTTACCTCCTACCCTGCACCTCTCACCACTACGCCCGCTACATCCTCTTCACCCTTGTCAATCCACTTACCCTTTTACCGAATCATCTAGTTGTTCTCTGCAATCGCAGTGAAGGGTTCATCTTGAGCAAACAGCACCAGGCCACGGGTAACGTTGAGCCCGGCCCAAGCCTTACGGTAGCTACAAGGAGTGCTGCGGAGACCTTCGGGAAAATGCACCTTGGGATCATCGGGCACATGAAGAGCTAGGCCCGGAATCTTTTTGCAAGCAAAAGAACCCTCCCTCGAGTGCTTGTACAGCATACGAATTCACCATTTTGTACCGATTCCCATCGTCGTCTGGGAGTCCGTCCCCTCCTCCCATCCTACCATCATCGCCCGATCTGGCGCATCAAAACAAACCCGGGCCCTCCAACCCCTATCTTGCCCTCCCGCCGCCTGAAGACGAGATCCCTGACCTTGACAAACTGCCCTCCGAACAACCACCTTCACCCCCACCTACCACACCTGCTCGTACCATGTCAGGACATCACCGCATCACCTTCGCCGCCAACCCCCCCTACTTCGATGGGGACAAGTCCAGATATATGGGCTTCGTGGACTCGTGCACCACCTACATCGGTGCCTATTGGTTGGAATTCTCGCAGGATGAGACAAAAATCCTCTTCATCCTCTCGTACCTCCGCAACGAGGCTGGCACGAGCTGCGCCGCCTCGAGATGGGCAATGAACTGGAAACAGCGCAACTTTGAGAGCCTCAATGGACTGAAGGCTGGGGTCACCTCGACGACCTTCTTGGAAGAGCTTCAGAGGACCTTTGGGGATTCCAACGCGGAGCAAGTGGCCGCCGCCCGACTTATGGCTCTACGCCAGAATAGACAATCCTTTGCGGATTATATCTCTGACTTCGAGATGCTGGCTGTGGACGTGGGGTACAACGTGGTCACCTCGACCGATGACAAGGGCGAGTACAAGAAGGGGGATCAGGACAACATCCTCATCAAGTTCCTCGAGCGCGGGTTGAGCAGCAAGATTGCAAGTCGCCTTTACAACACTGGTGTCCCTCTGCCCAAGGCGTATGGTGCCTTCAAGGACTGGTGTGTCAACATTGAGGCAAACACTCTATGCGATCAGCTGCGCAAAGCATTGCATGGGCACTCCACGCCACAACCACCCCCCCAATTCCGCCCGTAGGCAGCCCCCACGACACCTGCACCCGCCCCGGCCCGACCCACTGCCAACAAACCGGTTCCAATGGAAATTGATTGTACCCACGCCTGTGGCCGCAATATCATCTGCTACAACTGTCAGCAGCCCAGACACATTGCGCGGAACTGTCCGGAACCAAGAAAGAAGCGCACATTCTTCAATTGGGCCACGATGCTTGAAGAAATCGAGAACGGGGACAAGGACAACAAGTTCCTCAAGGAGATTGCCGAGAAGCTGCGTGAGAAGGGTTTTTGAAGCGCTCCACTCCTCCAGCCAAGGAGATGGAGCGTCCGGACTATGGACATTTTTCTGTACTTGTTTCAATAAAAGATATGAACGATATTCCTCATCCTACATACACGCTCCCAGACTCACTACGTACAAATATTCACGAGTTTCTTGTTGCCAAGATGGAAAAAGAACGTAAGGAAAAAATAGCTTTAAATAGAAAATATTTACAAGATAAAAAGGATCAGAAGATAGCAGCTGCGGACAAATTAATTTCGGACTCCTACATATTTATGGCTCGTGGAGAAGAAACCACGTCAACAAAGACCAAAAAGGGGAGCATCGCTCCGGAGGCTCGATCCTTGAAAAAGGAGGAAGCGCCTAAGGAATCTGCCGAAATCAAGGTTCCAGAAGCACCCAGACGCACAAGGGTGCCAGATGCCGTCCAAAGGAAATTGGCGGCCAAGAAACAGAAGGGCCCCCAGCCCAGCAGACTGGCGCAAGAATTGCACAACTACCAGGCCAAAAGGAAGAGGCATTCGATGGACGTATATGTTCAGATCACAGGCCTGGACTTGGGGAGAACGCGCAGGGTCAAAGCACTGTTGGATAGTGGCTGTAGTACCTGCTGCATCAATACCGACTACGTGCAGGCAGAGAAGTTGGATATCCAAGAGCTTCCACAACCCATTGTGGCTCGTAATGCTGACAACACCGTGAACATCAGCGGTCGGATCACGCACTACGTTGACCTAAGGATGAGAATCGGTCCTCATGTGGAGACACGCACGTTCCTTCTGACATGCTTAGGGAAAGCCCGGATCTTCATCGGTCTTGATTGGCTGATGGAACACAACCCTGAGGTGGATTGGCAGGAGCAGACCATGAAATTCAGTCAATGCCCAGAGCGGTGTCACATGAGGGGTCACGAGGAGCACCAAGCAATGATCGACATGGATGCAATTGACCTGGACACGGGCGCACCAGATCTGGAAGAGGGAGAATCGATCTTGTTGGTCAATTTTGGGAAGGAAGTGGATCTATGTGGCAATCAACCAAAAACAATAGTCGAAAAGAGAAGTGAATTCGAAGACTGGAGAATACAACCAGGTAGCTACAGTATTTATACCCAAATCCAGTCTGAGTCATATCTACAACTAATGAGTCATAGGGCTATGTACCGCATGGAACACTGGTCATGGGTTGTAGTAGAACCTTCCGGAGCATATGTCGCGCAGCCTTGAATCGATAAAGATGACCCCTGTCCCCCAAGCCCGGACCGTCAGATGCCGTGATCCGTGATAAGATGATCCGTGTCGAGATAAGATGAGATCGTCGAGGATAAGATGAAAAAGAGTCGAATTATGACATTACCCCCTCTCTAGGGTCGATGTCCTCATCGACTAGGCCAATGGGCGTGAAGACATTCTCGTAGGGATTGAAGAGTTGTCGCTGTGGATATGGAAGGTGCTCGTCCTTGGGTTTGTAGCGATGGATGAGATAATCCCAGTGTCCAGCTTCGAGCGTTGGCAGGAGGCGAATGCGTGTGTCTGGGTTGGATTGTTTCCTCTGCCAATCTCTCAGGATCTTCTTTGCGTGGGTAAGGTGACGTGATGGTTCCCAAGTATTTTCGCTATGCGGCCAGCCCTTCCATTTGACCAAGTACTGTTTTCCTCGGCCGACGTTTCGCTCTTTCACAATCTCTTCGACTTCCCACTCCTCTGCTCCTCCGATCATCTTGGCTACGGGTCTCTTCTCTCGGCGATGGGGGGGTGGTTTGTGATATGGTGTCAATAGTGACTCGTTGAACACCGGGTGTCTTCGGTCCGTGTCCGGCAAATCCAGCTTCCATGCGGCCGCTCCAACCTTCTCCAGTATCTCGTATGGTCCTAATCTCTTGTTGCTCATCTTCTTCAATGGTCTATCCGTCTCGATATTTTCCCCTTCTATGTACACCTTCATCCCAACCTTCAACTCCGGAACTTCTTTTCTTTGTTTATCGTAGTATTTTTTCATTTTTTCTTTTGCTTTTTCCAATGCTGTTTTTGCTTCGTCTTGTATTTCTTTGATTCTTTTTACAAACTCCTCTGCTGACTCGTTCCTTGATTCCATCCATTGCTCCACTCCCTTCCATGGGTGATATCCGTGATTGGCGTAGAACAGTGATATTTTGGTAGACGTGTTCATCTTGTCGTTGTATGCGAACTCTGCCATTCCCAGCCACTCCGACCAGTCCGTCTGATGGTAATTGACATAGATGCGGAGATAGTGCTCGATCTCCTGATTCATGCGTTCCGTTTGTCCATCTGTGATCGGGTGATATGCGGTCCCCGGATTCATTTCCACGCCCAACATCCGATTTGTCTCCCTCATGAAGCCTTTGATGTAGCGCGAATCCCTGTCGGTAATGATCTTGCGGGGGATCCCGTGGTAGCAGAAGACTCGGTCCCTGGTAAATCGTGCGACTCCTTCACTGCTGATGTCAGTACTGATTGGTTCGACATGGATCATTTTGGTGAAGGTGTCACACCACACATGAATTGCGTCATACCCATTACTGACCGGTAGGGGTCTGATTTGATCCATGGAGATGATTTCCCACGGCGCATTTGGGACTGCATGCGGGTGCAGAGTCCCTGTCCTTGCTCTCCTGGTCTTGGTCCGCTGGCACGCCTCGCACGTCTGGATGTATTTCCGGATTTGGTTCCCCATCCTTGGCCACCAGTAGTTCCTTTCCACCATTTCCTGCGTTCGATTGATCCCAGCGTGTCCGACCAAGGGTGTGTCGTGGTGTAGCCCGATGATCTTGTCTCGCAGTTCCTTGTCCCTCGGTACGTAGAGCTTCCCGTGGTATGTGATGAGCCCATCTTCCTTTCTCCATCCAGCGAGTGACTTCTCCAAGGCCACCTTGACGCTTCCATCAATCGATCGAGTGGTCTTGATCTCATCAACTAGCTGCTGATCCTGTCCCTCGAATGTGACTTCTTGTGATTGGAAGAATTCGGGCTTCAGTAGCGTGACGTCCTTGTTGTCGTTCTTGCCCTGATCGTGATCCGCTCGTCGAGACAGGAGATCCGCCTTGCGGTTGAGTGCGCCGGGTCGGTGTCGTAAAGTGAAATCAAACTCCGCCAACTCCGTGATCCATCGTGCTTGTCGTCGATTGAGCTTCTGCGGCTTCCGAAAGTACTCGAGATTCTGATGATCGGTAAAGATCTCAAACGTTTCCGTTGCTTCCAGGAGCAGCTGCCTCCATACGTCGAGCGATAACATGATTGCAAGCATTTCTTTGTCGTAGATCTCGTAATTTTGCTCGGTTTCGGTCAATGCATGCGAAATAAATGCAATTGGGCGCCAAATGCCGTCTTGGTTTTGGCTCAAAACGGATCCTGTTGCCCCTTCCGAAGCATCGGCTTCCAGATGATATTGGCCGGTGTCATTTGGCAGTGCTAAGACCGCATCCTCCGCGATTCTCTTCTTCAACCCATCAAATGCTGCACGCTCATCCGTACCCCATGACCATCCTGCCTTCCCTGTCAGCCGAGTCAACGGCTTGGCAACCTCCCCGTATCCCCGGACAAAGCGTTGATAGAAGTTTGTGAACCCTAGAAACGCTTGGACTTGTTTGACGCTCTTTGGTTCCGGCCATTCCATCACGCCCTTGATCTTGACTGGGTCCATCCGCATCAAATTGTGTCCAATAATTACACCCAAATATTCGATTTCCGTGCGTTCCGTGCGTTCGAACTCGCACTTTTCGGGCTTCAGGTATAGCTTATGTTTCTGGAGTAATTCGAGCACTCGTTTCGTGATCCGCCGATGTTCGTCCAAGTTCTCTGTAAAGATCAGTATATCGTCCAGATAGACTACCACGTGTCCCTCGTTGATCAGTTCTCAGAGTATGTCGTTCATCATGTTTTGGAACGTTGCCGGGGAATTCGTGAGACCAAAGAACATAACTAAGGGCTCGTACAGTCTGCGGTTTGTGCGGAACGCAGCCTTCCACTCGTTGCCCTCTTTGATCCGTACATTGTTATATCCCCACCGGATGTCGAGCTTGGTGAAGAACTTTGCGCCGCATAGGTTATGGACCAGTTCGGAGATCAGCAGCAGCGGGTATCGATTCCAGATTGTCATCTCATTCAGCTTCCGATAATCTTGGACGGGGCGTAGCGCGCCATCCTTCTTCTTGACAAAGAAGAATGCTGATGCCATGGGTGATTTCGATGGCCTGATCCGTCCGCTGGCCAGGTTCTCTTGTAAGAACTCATCCAGTTTGACCTGCTCATTTCGCAATAATGGGTACACCTTGCAGTCCACTGCTTTGGAACCCAGTTTGAGCTCAATCGCGTGGTCCCATGTTCGTCGATCCGGCAGTGAGTCAAACAATTCCTTGGCAAATACTTTGACGAATTCCTGGTATTGATCCAGAATCTTTCCCTCGGTCATTCTCTCCTTCTCCTTGTCCGCTTCTTCTGCGAATTTCTGTGCCGGTGTTTCCTTCAGCCGTAGATTGTCATAATTCGACTCTTTTTCATCTTATCCTCGACGATCTCATCTTATCTCGACACGGATCATCTTATCACGGATCACGGCATCTGACGGTCTGGGCTTGGGGGACAGGGGTCATCTTTATCGATTCAAGGCTGCGCGACATATGCTCCGGAAGGTTCTACTACAACCCATGACCAGTGTTCCATGCGGTACATAGCCCTATGACTCATTAGTTGTAGATATGACTCAGACTGGATTTGGGTATAAATACTGTAGCTACCTGGTTGTATTCTCCAGTCTTCGAATTCACTTCTCTTTTCGACTATTGTTTTTGGTTGATTGCCACATAGATCCACTTCCTTCCCAAAATTGACCAACAAGATCGATTCTCCCTCTTCCAGATCTGGTGCGCCCGTGTCCAGGTCAATTGCATCCATGTCGATCATTGCTTGGTGCTCCTCGTGACCCCTCATGTGACACCGCTCTGGGCATTGACTGAATTTCATGGTCTGCTCCTGCCAATCCACCTCAGGGTTGTGTTCCATCAGCCAATCAAGACCGATGAAGATCTGGGCTTTCCCTAAGCATGTCAGAAGGAACGTGCGTGTCTCCACATGAGGACCGATTCTCATCCTTAGGTCAACGTAGTGCGTGATCCGACCGCTGATGTTCACGGTGTTGTCAGCATTACGAGCCACAATGGGTTGTGGAAGCTCTTGGATATCCAACTTCTCTGCCTGCACGTAGTCGGTATTGATGCAGCAGGTACTACAGCCACTATCCAACAGTGCTTTGACCCTGCGCGTTCTCCCCAAGTCCAGGCCTGTGATCTGGACATATACGTCCATCGAATGCCTCTTCCTTTTGGCCTGGTAGTTGTGCAATTCTTGCGCCAGTCTGCTGGGCTGGGGGCCCTTCTGTTTCTTGGCCGCCAATTTCCTTTGGACGGCATCTGGCACCCTTGTGCGTCTGGGTGCTTCTGGAACCTTGATTTTGGCAGATTCCTTAGGCGCTTCCTCCTTTTTCAAGGATCGAGCCTCCGGAGCGATGCTCCCCTTTTTGGTCTTTGTTGACGTGGTTTCTTCTCCACGAGCCATAAATATGTAGGAGTCCGAAATTAATTTGTCCGCAGCTGCTATCTTCTGATCCTTTTTATCTTGTAAATATTTTCTATTTAAAGCTATTTTTTCCTTACGTTCTTTTTCCATCTTGGCAACAAGAAACTCGTGAATATTTGTACGTAGTGAGTCTGGGAGCGTGTATGTAGGATGAGGAATATCGTTCATATCTTTTATTGAAACAAGTACAGAAAAATGTCCATAGTCCGGACGCTCCATCTCCTTGGCTGGAGGAGTGGAGCGCTTCAAAAACCCTTCTCACGCAGCTTCTCGGCAATCTCCTTGAGGAACTTGTTGTCCTTGTCCCCGTTCTCGATTTCTTCAAGCATCGTGGCCCAATTGAAGAATGTGCGCTTCTTTCTTGGTTCCGGACAGTTCCGCGCAATGTGTCTGGGCTGCTGACAGTTGTAGCAGATGATATTGCGGCCACAGGCGTGGGTACAATCAATTTCCATTGGAACCGGTTTGTTGGCAGTGGGTCGGGCCGGGGCGGGTGCAGGTGTCGTGGGGGCTGCCTACGGGCGGAATTGGGGGGGTGGTCGTGGCGTGGAGTGCCCATGCAATGCTTTGCGCAGCTGATCGCATAGAGTGTTTGCCTCAATGTTGACACACCAGTCCTTGAAGGCACCATACGCCTTGGGCAGAGGGACACCAGTGTTGTAAAGGCGACTTGCAATCTTGCTGCTCAACCCGCGCTCGAGGAACTCGATGAGGATATTGTCCTGTTCCCCCTTCTTGTACTCGCCCTTGCTGTCGGTGGAGGTGACCACGTTGTACCCCGCGTCTGCAGCCAGCATTTCGAAGTCGGAGATGTAGTCCGCAAAGGACCGTCTGCCCTGGCGTAGAGCCATAAGTCGGGCGGCGGCCACTTGCTCCGCGTTGGAATCCCCAAAGGCCCTCTGAAGCTCCTCCAAGAAGCTTGTTGCGGTGACTCCCGCCTTTAGTCCTTGGAAGCCCTCAAAATTGTGCTGCTTCCAGTTCATTGCCCATCTTGAGGCGGCGCAGCTTGTGCCACTCTCATTTCGGAGGTAGGACAGGACAAAGAGGATTTTGGTCTCGTCCAGTGAGAACTCCGACCGATAGGCACCGATGTAAGTGGTGCACGCGTCCACAAAGCCCAGGTACTTGGACTTGTCGCCATCGAAGTAGGGGGGATTGGCGGCGAGGGTGATGCGGTGATGTCCTGACATGGTAGGAGCAGGTGTGGTAGGTGGGGGCAAGGGTGGTTGTTCGGAGGGTAACTCGCCAAGGTCGGGGATCTCGTCTTCAGGAGGCGGAAGGGCGAGGTAGGGGTTGGAGGGCCCGGGTTGGTTTTGATGCGCCAGATCGGGCGACGATGGTAGGATGGGAGGAGGAGACGGACTCCCAGACGACGATGGGAATCGGAACAAAATGGTGGATTCGTGTGCTGTACAAGCACTCGAGGGAGGGTTCTTTTGCTAGCAAAAAGATCCTGGGCCTAGCTCTTCACGTGCCCAATGATCCCAAGGTGCGTTTTCCCGAAGGTCTCCGCAGCACTCCTTGTAGCTACCGTAAGGCTTGGGTCGGGCTCAACGTTACCTGTGGCCTGGTGCTGTTTGCTCAATATGAACCCTTCACTGTGATCGCAGAGGACGACTAGATGATTCGGTAAAAGGGTAAGTGGGGTGATAAGGATGAAGAGGATATAGCGGGCATAGCGGTGCGGTGATGCAGGGTAGGAGGTAAGAGGTACGAGGGTATGAGGGGAGTCTTCGAATTATGTGACAATCAACCCAAAAACAAAGTCGAAAAGAGAAGTGAATTCGAAGACTGGAGAATACAACCAGGTAGCTACAGTATTTATACCCAAATCCAGTCTGAGTCATATCTACAACTAATGAGTCATAGGGCTATGTACCGCATGGAACACTGGTCATGGGTTGTAGTAGAATCTTCCAGAGCATATGTCACGCAGCCTTGAATCGATAAAGATGACCCCTGTCCCCCAAGCCCAGACCGTCAGATGCCGTGATCCGTGATAAGATGATCCGTGTCGAGATAAGATGAGATCGTCGAGGATAAGATGAAAAAGAGTCGAATTATGACAATCTACGGCTGAAGGAAACACCGGCACAGAAATTCGCAGAAGAAGCGGACAAGGAGAAGGAGAGAATGACCGAGGGAAAGATTCTGGATCAATACCAGGAATTCGTCAAAGTATTTGCCAAGGAATTGTTTGACTCACTGCCGGATCGACGAACATGGGACCACGCGATTGAGCTCAAACTGGGTTCCAAAGCAGTGGACTGCAAGGTGTACCCATTATTGCGAAATGAGCAGGTCAAACTGGATGAGTTCTTACAAGAGAACCTGGCCAGCGGACGGATCAGGCCATCGAAATCACCCATGGCATCAGCATTCTTCTTTGTCAAGAAGAAGGATGGCGCGCTACGCCCCGTCCAAGATTATCGGAAGCTGAATGAGATGACAATCTGGAATCGATACCCGCTGCTGCTGATCTCCGAACTGGTCCATAACCTATGCGGCGCAAAGTTCTTCACCAAGCTCGACATCCGGTGGGGATATAACAATGTACGGATCAAAGAGGGCAACGAGTGGAAGGCTGCGTTCCGCACAAACCGCAGACTGTACGAGCCCTTAGTTATGTTCTTTGGTCTCACGAATTCCCCGGCAACGTTCCAAAACATGATGAACGACATACTCTGAGAACTGATCAACGAGGGACACGTGGTAGTCTATCTGGACGATATACTGATCTTTACAGAGAACTTGGACGAACATCGGCGGATCACGAAACGAGTGCTCGAATTACTCCAGAAACATAAGCTATACCTGAAGCCCGAAAAGTGCGAGTTCGAACGCACGGAACGCACGGAAATCGAATATTTGGGTGTAATTATTGGACACAATTTGATGCGGATGGACCCAGTCAAGATCAAGGGCGTGATGGAATGGCCGGAACCAAAGAGCGTCAAACAAGTCCAAGCGTTTCTAGGGTTCACAAACTTCTATCAACGCTTTGTCCGGGGATACGGGGAGGTTGCCAAGCCGTTGACTCGGCTGACAGGGAAGGCAGGATGGTCATGGGGTACGGATGAGCGTGCAGCATTTGATGGGTTGAAGAAGAGAATCGCGGAGGATGCGGTCTTAGCACTGCCAAATGACACCGGCCAATATCATCTGGAAGCCGATGCTTCGGAAGGGGCAACAGGATCCGTTTTGAGCCAAAACCAAGACGGCATTTGGCGCCCAATTGCATTTATTTCGCATGCATTGACCGAAACCGAGCAAAATTACGAGATCTACGACAAAGAAATGCTTGCAATCATGTTATCGCTCGACGTATGGAGGCAGCTGCTCCTGGAAGCAACGGAAACGTTTGAGATCTTTACCGATCATCAGAATCTCGAGTACTTTCGGAAGCCGCAGAAGCTCAATCGACGACAAGCACGATGGATCACGGAGTTGGCGGAGTTTGATTTCACTTTACGACACCGACCCAGCGCACTCAACCGCAAGGCGGATCTCCTGTCTCGACGAGCGGATCACGATCAGGGCAAGAACGACAACAAGGACGTCACGCTACTGAAGCCCGAATTCTTCCAATCACAAGAAGTCACATTCGAGGGACAGGATCAGCAGCTAGTTGATGAGATCAAGACCACTCGATCGATTGATGGAAGCGTCAAGGTGGCCTTGGAGAAGTCACTCGCTGGATGGAGAAAGGAAGATGGGCTCATCACATACCACGGGAAGCTCTACGTACCGAGGGACAAGGAACTGCGAGACAAGATCATCGGGCTACACCACGACACACCCTTGGTCGGACACGCTGGGATCAATCGAACGCAGGAAATGGTGGAAAGGAACTACTGGTGGCCAAGGATGGGGAACCAAATCCGGAAATACATCCAGACGTGCGAGGCGTGCCAGCGGACCAAGACCAGGAGAGCAAGGACAGGGACTCTGCACCCGCATGCAGTCCCAAATGCGCCGTGGGAAATCATCTCCATGGATCAAATCAGACCCCTACCGGTCAGTAATGGGTATGACGCAATTCATGTGTGGTGTGACACCTTCACCAAAATGATCCATGTCGAACCAATCAGTACTGACATCAGCAGTGAAGGAGTCGCACGATTTACCAGGGACCGAGTCTTCTGCTACCACGGGATCCCCCGCAAGATCATTACCGACAGGGATTCGCGCTACATCAAAGGCTTCATGAGGGAGACAAATCGGATGTTGGGCGTGGAAATGAATCCGGGGACCGCATATCACCCGATCACAGATGGACAAACGGAACGCATGAATCAGGAGATCGAGCACTATCTCCGCATCTATGTCAATTACCATCAGACGGACTGGTCGGAGTGGCTGGGAATGGCAGAGTTCGCATACAATGACAAGATGAATGTGACAATCAACCCAAAAACAAAGTCGAAAAGAGAAGTGAATTCGAAGACTGGAGAATACAACCAAGTAGCTACAGTATTTATACCCAAATCCAGTCTGAGTCATATCTACAACTAATGAGTCATAGGGCTATGTACCACATGGAACGCTGGTCATGGGTTGTAGTAGAACCTTCCGGAGCATATGTCGCGCAGCCTTGAATCGATAGAGATAACCCCTGGAACCCCTAGCCCGGACCGTCTGATGCCGTGATCCGTGATAAGATAAGTCGTGCCAAGATAAGATAGGATTGTCGATGATAAGATGAAAAAGAGTCGAATTATGACATTACCCCCTCTCTAGGGTCGATGTCCTCATCGACTAGGCCAATGGGCGTGAAGACGTTTTCGTACGGATTGAAGAGTTGTCGCTGGGGGTATGGAAGGCGCTCGTCTTTGGGTTTGTAGCGATGGATGAGGTAATCCCAATGTCCGGCTTCGAGAGTTGGCAGGAGGCGAATGCGTGTGTCTGGGTTGGATTGTTTCCTCTGCCAATCTCTCAGGACCTTCTTCGCGTGGGTAAGGTGACGTGATGGTTCCCAGGTGTTCTCGCTATGCGGCCAGCCCTTCCATTTGACCAAGTACTGTTTTCCTCGGCCGACGTTTCGCTCTTTCACAATCTCTTTGACTTCCCACTCCTCTGCTCCTCCGATCATCTTGGCTACAGGCCTCTTCTCTCGGCGATGGGGGGGTGGTTCGTGATAGGGTGTCAACAGTGACTCGTTGAACACCGGATGTCTTCGGTCCGTGTCCGGTAAATCCAGCTTCCATGCGGCCGCTCCAACCTTCTCCAATATCTCGTATGGCCCTAGTCTCTTGTCGCTCATCTTCTTTGATGGTCGATCCGTCGCAATATTTTCCCCTTCTATGTACACCTTCATCCCAACCTTCAACTCCGGAACTTCTTTTCTTTGTTTATCGTAGTATTTTTTCATTTTTTCTTTTGCTTTTTCTAGTGCTGTTTTTGCTTCGTCTTGTATTTCTTTCATTCTTTTTACAAATTCCTCCGCCGACTCGTTTCTCGACTCCATCCGTTGCTCCACTCCCTTCCATGGGTGATATCCGTGATTCGCATAGAATGGCGATATTTTGGTAGATGTGTTCATTTTATCGTTATATGCGAATTCTGCCATCCCTAGCCACTCCGACCAGTCCGTTTGATGGTAGTTGACGTAGATGCGGAGATAGTGCTCGATCTCCTGATTCATGCGTTCTGTCTGCCCATCCGTGATCGGGTGATATGCGGTCCCCGGATTCATTTCCACGCCCAACATCCGATTCGTCTCCCTCATGAAGCTCTTGATGTAACGCGAATCCCTGTCGGTGATGATCTTGCGAGGGATCCCGTGGTAGCGGAAGACTCGGTCCCTGGTTAGTCGTGCCACTCCTTCGCTGCTGATGTCAGTACTAATTGGTTTGACATGGATCATTTTGGTGAAGGTGTCACACCACACATGAATTGCGTCATACCCGTTACTGACCGGCAAGGGTCCGATTTGATCCATGGAGATGATTTCCCACGGCGCGTTTGGAACTGCATGCGGGTGCAAACTCCCTGTCCTTGCTCTCCTGGTCTTGGTCCGTTGGCACGCCTCGCACGTCTGGATGTATTTCCGAATTTGGTTTCCCATCCTGGGCCACCAGTAGTTTCTTTCCACCATCTCCTGCGTTCAGTTGATCCCGGCGTGTCCGACCAAAGGGGTGTCGTGGTGTAGTCCGATGATTTTGTCCCGCAACTCCTCGTCCCTTGGTAC